TAGTAGTAGTAGCAGTAGTAGTATAGTAGTAGGAGTAGTAGTAGCCGTAGTAGTAGCAGTAGTAGCAATAGTCGCAGCAGTAGTAGCAGCAGCAGTAATAGCAGTGGCTGTGGTTTTTCGTACCATTGCAAGGTAGTCTCCCTTGCAGCAGCAAGTACGGGAGTGCTGGCTGGGCCTTTATTGCAGCACACGCTTGCTTTTCTCAACACATGGGGCCGGGTGTTTGGTCGCCCAACTGGGTGTGGGAAAACCAGGGCGTAGGCAGCAGCAGCAACGGCGGCGGCAGCTGCAGGGGCAGACGGAGAAGTGGTGGTGCTGGTGGTGATTCGGGACGATCATGGTGTCCTGGGAGGCACTCACAACAGCACCGAGGCGGGGGAAGCATTTGGAAATGGCCTCGTGTAGCAGCCACAGCAGCAGTCGCAGAATGGATGGCAGTAGAAGCAGCAGTACAAATTGTGCTGGCAATCGTGTGGTAATGCTGCTTGTGGTGGTTTTGGTGTTTGTAATCCTCGTAGTTGTAGCATATTGAAGGAGAAGGAGGTCGAGGAGGCGAGCCCTTATCATGCAACACATGGGCAAACTGAGGTGCGAACAGCCAATCGCTAGCACGGACAAGCCCATACGCACGGACTGTTGTGTCAACATCAGCAAGCCGATGTGTTGAAACCTGAGGAGCAGGTGCTGGGGAAGAAGTGGCGCTTGATGATTTCGAGCAGCAATGCTGGTGCATTATCTGAGTTGGAGGCCCGAGCGCCACAAGCGCCGACTCGATTCGTGAAAGGGAGCGCGTTGACACCACAAAGCCCACAGCAGTACTGCTCAGGATCGGTAGCTGTGGCCCAGGATGTGAAAAGCTCCTGTCAGGCGAACGACTCAGTTTGACATGCGTAGAAAGCCCCATGTCTTGGCATCAAGCTTGACAATTTGTCCAGCCCTGAGTCTCGACTTCCTGTAGGTCCATGAAAAACGGGTGCACCGATACCAGCACAACAACTACTGCTACGATCTTGAATCTAGAAAGACGAGAAGCTCACAAATCAGAAGCTACGATCTCTACAATTTGCATGAGTGTCACGCTGCATTCAGAATCCCGTGCTCCTGGCTGTCGATGAGAAGCCCATGTGGCTCATGTCAATTAAAGGTAGGAAGAAGACCGGGCCCACCCGAGACAAGCCTGAAGTCAGTGCTAGTGGGCCTGAGTGAGTGAAGCTGCGCGCGAACATACTGAAGTCTAGGGATGCTACGTCGTGAATGAGGATTGCAAAGCCAAGCTGTGCCAGAGATCGGAAGGACATGAGCGACTCACAGTAGGCAAAGCCTGGAGTGAATGCAGCGAGGCCAGTGCAAGCTGCACTATGAAGCAATGAATTTGGGCCCATGTGGACAGCATCGGTGGCCGACGAGGAGGAGACGGATGCTGCCCGGGCCAATCCTGATGCTGAAGCGAGCACACCAGGCTGTGAGAATTGCCTTGTCAGCATTGATGACCCAGGTGTGGCAACATCATAAGTAAGCAAGAATGAGCCGGACCTGGCAAAGCTTCGCAAGGGCGCCAGAGGTCCTGAGCTTGAGACCTCCACAACTGAAAGTTTGAACACGGGCCCCAAGCAGCTCAGGCCAAAAGCAGGAGGCGGCAAACCCGGGTGTGAAAAGCTTCTTGGCGGCATCTGACTGTCAGTCTGAGCCACGTCAGAAAGAGATGGTGCGGGCTCTGACTTTGCCATGCTGCGTGTAGGCACTAGAGGACCTAGCTGTCCGAAAGATAGCGTCAGCAGCATTGCGCCCGGACGTCCCAAACTCATGGTAGAGGTGGAACTGCCCACTCGCACGAAGCTCCTCAAGGGAGCAACCAAACCAAGGTTTGAGCAATCATGAACGGAGGCAGCCACGTCTGAGCAAGCAAGGCTTCTCGCCAACAGAGAACTTTCCAGCAAACCTGCTCCAGTTACCAATAGCGCGGATACAGAATCAGTGCAGGCTAAGCCAGACACAAATACAAGCAAGCCCAGTTGCGCACAAGCTCGGAGCAGCATCAGGGGCCCCAGTCGGCCATAGTTCGGTACTGGAAGGATTGCACCCAGACAGGAAGGGCTGCGAGGCAAAAGCAGAGACTCGAGTTGCACCTTTTCAGTCACAAGTAAGGAGGATACAAAGCCAACTCGGGACAGGCCGAGTGAAAACACTGGCAACCCCAAATGCGCCATGCTTCGAATAGCTGTAGAGGAGCCAGAATGACCAAACTGTGGGACTGACAAGCTGGAGCCTGGTCTTGCACGCGATTGCACCAAGACAGTTAGCTCAAGGTGTGAGGAGTCTAAAGCTGACAGCGGAGAACCCAGGGTCATCCTTCCCGTAACCATCATGGACAAACCAGGCCGCCCTGCAGCTCTTGGCGGGAATGAAAACTCTAGATGAAGAGAGTCTAGAGCAAGCAGCATGGAGCCAAGGCAGGAAAGGCTTCGCACTAGCAAGGTGACACCCAATTTTGCAAGATTCAATGATATCACCAATACGCCTGGCCGTGCGAATGTTTGCAATGGCAACAGCGGCCCAAGATTTACGACGGATGTGACTGGCGGTGAGGAAACAAGGCCAGCACGCGACAGCCCAAGTACTGAGACCGACGGCCCGCCGCAAGCGTGAGTCCGTGCAGAGGGCGATAGCTCAGTATGCGAAAACTGTAAGACAGGTGCTATGGAGCCCATCCATCCCACAGATCGTGCAAGCAACGTCAAGCCTGAATGAGCGGAATCTGCGACAGATGCAGAAACTTCTGTTCGCGATGCTGCGAGTGTCGAAGCTGGAGGCTCAATGCGGGCGAAATAGCGCACCGAGACTGAAGAGCTGAACACAGTGTATTGAAGGGTGGGCGGCAATAAGCCAAGGCATGCAAAGGACCTGGCAAACATCGAAGAGGCCATGTTTGCCAACTCAGTCACTGAGAGAGAGGAGACAGATCCCGCGCGGGCGAGCCCGAGGCACGACATGAAGGAGCTCAACCGCGTATAGCTTCGCACAAAAAGCAAGGGCTCGAGGCGAAGCCAGGCCAGCACCAGCGCGCAGAAGCCAGGTCTGGCGAAGGATCTCAAGAGCAGCAAACTGCCCATTTTCATATTGTCTGTAACCGACGAAGGGAACACGGAGCCGCAACAGGACATGCCGACGGCAGGTGCCAGAGATCCCATGCACGCAGAGCCTTGGGCAGGAAACGTGGAGCCTGCGTTGCAAAACTCCAGTACTGATGGAAGGGGGCCTGGCCATGCGGAGCTATGCAGCAGCAAAATGGAGCCAAGAGTTGCGAGCTCCGATGCCGAAAACGAAGCGTCCAGGCACAGCAATCCGGGAGTTGGCATGACGAGATCTGCGCACGCGGGCTGTCTCAAAGGCAGCACCGAGCCTGCTCGACTGATTCCTAGAACCAACACAGCCGGTGCCAGCCTACCATAGCCTCGAAGAAGCAGTAAGAAGTCAGGACGAGCCCAGCCCGATACTGGCGCGGGTGTTCCCACTCACCCACAGCTGTGCAACGAAAGAGAAGCTTCCATTTTCACGAGGTCAGCTACCGGCAGGCTGAACACAGAGTCAGCTCGGGACATTCCCAATGCAAAGGCTGACAGGTCCAGGTACACGGAACTCCGAGCCAGAAGGGGCAAGCCAAGCTTTGCAAAGTTGGAGGCCAACAACACCAGATCAAGCCTCAAAAGGCTGCGTGGGGAGAGCGGGAAACCGAAAGTGGAGGAATCCAATGCTGGCAGAGGGGAACCTGCAACACTTTTTCCAAGCACGGACGTGGAGGAGTCGGCCCTGGAGAGCTGTTGCAATGACATCAACAGGCCTGGCGCAGCAAGATTGGGCGAAGGAGGCGCAAAGTCTGTACATGCAGGGCCTTGCAGAGAAGCAGGTAGGCCTACATGAGTGGGGTCTAATGTCAACGTTGAAGTTCCAGCACGTGCCAGGCCTCTGAGTGGCAAGGACAAGCCCATCTTGACAAGGTCAGTGACTGGCAGCTTGAATACGGAGCCAAGGCGTGACAAGCCCACTGCGAACGCCAAGAAGCCCACATGGGAGAACTGCTGCATCAAGGGTGATGGTCCGCTATGGCAAGAGTCCGGCACCGACGTAGCCACATCCAACCTTGCAGGGGAGCGCAAAGACAAAGGAGGCTCGAGCTGCAAGAGGTCCAGCACCGGTGAGGCAGATCCCAACTTGGCCAGCGAACGCAGCAACGAGAAAAATCCCATTTGCGAAAGGTCTACAGTTGGGGTCGCTGAGCTCAGTCTTGCAAAGCTTTGCAGGAACGAGGTCAGGCCAACGTGACTACCATCCAAGACAAATGGCAAAAGGCCGGGCCAGGCCAATCCACACAAAAGCAAGGCTGCTTCCATGCGTGCAGGGTTTTGGACCGACAGCAGGCTGCCCAGAGCTGCAAAACTCAAAGCAAACATCACTACGCCAAGCCAAGAGACGCTTTGGGGCAACAGTAGCAAGCCAGATTGGCTGGAGCCTGGTACAGGAAGCAGTGACCCTAAACGACTGCGACCCATGGCAAGCAGGGTGAGGCCTGGCCAAGAGAAGTGTCGTAGTGAAGGGGAAGGGTCTGAGTGACTAAGCTGCAGTGCCAGCACCAACATGTCAAGGTAAAGGAAGCTTTGTGAAAACAGCGCGGGACCCAGGCATGAAGAATCCAGCACAAACATCAGCACTTCAAGGCGTGCCAAACCCACGATGGAAGGAGGGGTAGCTGATCGCGAACAGCTCCTAAGGAATGTTGGAAGCTCCATGTGAGAGAAATCGGTGGCCGACACAGCAAAGCCGAGCCGAATGAGGGATCTCACTGATGACACGGAGCCTGACTTAGTGAAGTCTGGAGCTGGAAGCAGAGCCCCCAAGCAGGCCATGCCACAGGCTGGCGTTGCCGCTTCAGCTCTTACACGTGATTGCAAAGGCGGCGTAGAGCCGGCATGTAAGTATCGAAGTGCAAAGGCAGCGGAGCCCGAGCGAGCAAGAGACCTTGAAGACATTGTGGAGGCCATGTCTACGAAGCTCAGAACTGGCAAGCTGAGTCCCAGCTTTGAGCAGCCAAGTGCTGGCAACACTGCATCTAGCCAGGCAAGATACCTCATTGGCATTGTTGGACCCGTCTGCAGGTGGTCAATTACAAACAAAGCTGGATCAGAGCGGGCGAACGAATGCGCAAACAAAGAAGGACCGGAATGAGCAGGGTCTGGGACCGGCAGCGAGGATCCCATGCTTGCTTTTCCCAAAACTGAAACTGCAGATGCTAAGTGAGCAAGGCATTGCAAGAAAAGGGACAGTCCAGAGTGGGCAGAATCTGAGACGAGCGCTGCCAGGCCGAACCTGACAAAACTTTGGACAGAGGGTGGCGAGCCGAAATGCACGTAGCCCAAGACTGAGATGCTGCTTGGCCCGGAACTGAACTTACCGAAGACAAACAGGGGAGAGCCAGTTTGCGCGAGGGTTTGCATGGACATCAAGGATCCAGGTATCAAGAAGTCGAAGATTGGCATTGGAAATCCACATCTGGCATGTGACCTGGTGGATGGAAGTGACCCCAGCTGCAAGAAATCAGGAACTAACAGCAGAAAGTCAAAACAGCCCATACCAGGTACAATCACTGCTGGGCCGATGTGTGTGGAGGAGCGCGAGGGCAGCAAGAGTCCTGAGCGAGCAGGGTCCAGGGCAGAAAGCACAGGCTCCACATATGCGCATGACCGAAGCAGCATCAAGCTTCCCAGGTGAGTCACATCGGTGACAGGCAAGGAGAATACGAGCCCAGGCCAAGCCATTCCCAACAAAGAAGCCGTCAGCCCGAAGCGCATGTGGCTTCGTGACAAAGCCAAGGGGCCGGGCCGAAGCAGATCCAACACCAAGGCCGCCGGGCCCAAGCAGCTGAAACTTTGAGCCGGCAAGGGAGCACCAGGATTCAGGGAGTCAGGGATCGACATCAGAGCATCGGGCCTGACGCTGCTCGTCACCAGCACTGCTAACTCAGAACACTTGAGTGCTTGTGATGGTAAAGGTGGGCCTGAATGAAGAGAGTCAAGCACTGGGAGTGATGCCTCCAAGCGACTCATTGAGCGAGCAAACGGTGGAGGGCCAAGGTGCAAGAAGTCCAGGGCCAACGCTGGCAATTCAAGGCAAGCCATTCCGGAGAGAGATGGGCTGGAGCCCAGCCGGCCACGATCGCGCAGGGATACAAAGAGGTCAAGCCTTGCAAAATCCAAAGCCGGCATTGCCAACCCTGGACAGGAGCGCGATCGCAGTGGCAGGGACGGTTCCATTGTGCAAACCTCGGTCGCCGATGGCAAGAAAACCAAGCCAGCGCGGGCCAATCCAAACACTAGGGGAGTGAGGTCAAGTTGTGAAAACGACCTTATCAGAGGTGTGGATCCCATGACAAGAAAGTCAGGCACCGACAGTAGCAAGCCAGGCCTGCTGAAGCTGCGGAGAGGAAGAGATGAGTCTAGCTGCAAGGGATCCAGAACAAACAAGCTGGAGCCAGGCCACACCTTTCCGAAAACAAGCATCACAGGATCAGTGCGTGCAAGCTGTTGCAGAGGCGCTGGCAAGCCCATGCGCAAGTGATCAGGCACTGGCAGAACACTGCCTAGCTGGCCACAGGATTGCGACGACAAGAGCGCATCTGAGTGAAGAAAATCTGGGACGGGCGCAGGGGGACCAAGCCATGAAGCTCCACAAGTTGAAGTTGCTAGGCCGGTGCAGCCAGGGCTTTGCGAGGACGAGGCTGCTCCAGGCTTAGCATGGTTCAGGACAAGCACTGGGGAGCCAAAACGGCCCATGGAGTGCGACGACGCCAGCAGTTCCAGTTGGCTAGAGTCCAGGGCCAACAGGGAGGAGCCTAGCCTGCCTATGCCCATCGGAAACACGATTGTGTCTAGATAGCTGAGACCTCTCAAGAAAAGGGGAAAACCTAGGTGCGAAAGTGCCAACACTAGCAACAGCAACTCGACTCTAGCAGTCGTTCTTGCTGGCAAAAGTAACCCCAGAGTAGCACCTTCTGTTGCTGGCAGCGAGGAAACGAAGCCAACTCGTGCTAGGCCGAGCGTAGGTGTCATCAAGCCAAGTCAAACCGCGCTCCTGAAGAACGTTGGAAGGCCCATGTGAAGAAGGTCAAGGACGAAAGGAGGGAGGTCTAGATGGCTCAAGCTTCGCGCAGCTGAGGGCAGACCAGGGTGAGAGAAGTCTAAGGTGAGAACAGCAAGGCCCATCCTTGCCAAGCTTTGCACTGAAGCCACTGGCTCGGGACAAGCATGATCTGCAGTCGGCAGCAAGAAAACAAAGCCTGCACGGCTCAAGCCAAAAATGGACGCTGGGAATCCTGACCTACCACACGATCTTAAGGGCATGGTCAACCCTGGATGTAAGAAATCCAACGCCAACATTGGCAGCCCGCAACATGAAGAGCTTCGAGCAGATGATGCTGGTTCAAGGCAGGCCTTCTCTGTCACGGGCAGCAAGAACACAAAGCCAGGTCGGGACAGTCCCAAGGCCGGAAGCATCGCTTCTAACCGGCTGGTTGATTGCAGTAGTAGCCCTGGTTCTGGATGCAGGAAATCAAGCACTGGTAAGACAAGTCCGAGTCTTGCAGGGCTTCTCAGCAGAAGCATTGGCCCTGAACCAGTCATGTCTAGCACCAACGAAGATGATGCTGAGCAGCTCAGTCCACACACAAGCGGAGAAGCTTCTGCACATCCATGGCTTTGCGATGGTAGCGCTGGACCAGGGCGTGCGTGGGCCAGAGCCAACACTGCAAAGCCCACGCGAGCAGAGCTTTGAACAGGCAGGGCTGAATCGGGATGCGTGTTTTCGGTTACAGATAGCGGGAACACTGGACCTGTCCGGGTCAAACCTGGTGGCAGCATTAGTGGCCCTAGCTGCACACTGCCCCGAACAGAGAGTGTCAAGCCCAAGTGCAGGAGGTCAGGTGCAGAAGGCACAGGCTCGGGTTGTGACATGCTCCTGGTAGGTGAAACCAAACCTAAATGAAGCATATCCAGGACCGAAGTCAAGACTCCGCAGCGCGCTAAACTGGAAGTGAGCACTGCTGTGCCTGGACACATGACTGATTGAAGCGGCAGGGGGAATCCCATGTGACTGAAAGCAGGTACTAGCATTGGGGTTCCTGGGCGGCTAGCGCAGCGAACTAGCAGGAAAGAACCGAGAGTCGTGCATTCAGTCACGGGCAGCAGGAACACGGATCCGATGCAGCCCATGCCATATGCAGGAAGCACACTTCCAGATTGCGCCATGCTATGCACCAAAGGAGAGGAGCCCATATGAAGGGAGTCCAGCACGAACAGTGGAAGGCCCAGTCAGCTGAGGCTTCTCAGAGGCATCGATGGGCCAGGGGCGGTATTCTCTATCGCAGACAGGGAGGACACAAAGCCAGGTCTGGAAAGCCCTGAGGCAGACATGGCAATGCCAAGGCAGCTGGAGCTTCGCGTTGGTGACGGCAAGCCACAGTGCAAGGAGTCCAACACAGGCGCCGCAAAACCCATGTGAGCAAGGGACTTGGGCGACGTAGATGCATCAGGGTGGAGAAAATCTGATGCCAAAGCTGAGACGCCAAATCTGCTCAACCCCATGGCTGAAAGAACAGAATCGACTCGAGCCAGACCTTAGTCAAGCCAGCATCTTGGGCATGCAAAGCACAGGACTCTAACATCCACACATAGCCACGTCGAATCCCAGCACTGTAGAGGGAGCTACACAAACCCAGAAGCTGAGTCTTGCACTTTGTGACAAAATCAAGCTCCCGAGACGCGCAGGGTCAGTAGCTGGAACCATTGCATCCAAGCGCGTGGAGCTGTGGACCAGCAGAAGGCTTCCCAGGAAGACGTTAGCCACTACCTCAGCTTGTTGTCTTTCTCCCTGAGACAACGTCAAGGCTACCATTGTCCAATCTCACGTCTGAATTCACGCGAGGTACAACCCCAGACCCTAAACATCCCTATACCCTATAACCCTATAACCCTCAAGGACCACTTTGGAAACTAAGGGCGGTGCTGGCAGCAAGGATACGGATTCAGCTCGCGCCGGACCTGGCCTCGAAGCATTTGCAGAAGACTAAGTCATAAAATTCCATATATATATAACAGAATAGAATAGAATAGAATGATATCATACTATATTACGTTACATTACCTTCCCTACCTACCCAGCTTGGCATTTTGAGGCTCTGAGGTCGCGGCATGAGCAGCAGCAAGCCAGGCCAACCAGGGCTGCGGGGTAGTGGTAATGGGCCAAGGTGCAAGGAGTCCAAAACTAGCAACACCGTGCCAGCTCGTGCAGACGAGCGCGCTGAAAGCAAAAAGCCCAAATGGATTTCTTCGGTCAAAGGCAGCAAGGAGACCAGGCCCACGCGTGACAGCCCCGACGAAGGAACCATCAATCCTGTGCAAGCGTGGCCTCTCGTTGGCAGCGTCAGGTCGAGTGCAAGAAAATCCAGGACAGGCATCAACAGGCCGAGGTATGCAAAAGACTGCAGCGGCATCGAGAGTCCTAGGTGCAAAGGGTCAGGCACCAACACAGCGAAGCCTGCCCAGAATGTGCTTCTAACCAGCATTGCGAAGTCCGGCTTTGTGGAGTCAATGACTGGCAGGGAGGAAACGAAGCCCGATCTTGTCAGCCCCGGAACCAACACGCTGGAGCCCATCCTGGTAAAGCTGCGCATAAGGATTGGGGAACCTGGCTTCGTGGAATCTGAGGCTGACAGCGATAGCCCTGATTGCGAACAAGCCTGCAGCAACAGTGGCAGATCTGGATGCGAGAAGTCCAAGACTAGCGTGCTACTGCCAAATTGCAGCCGACCAAACACAGAAGGAACAGGTCCCAAATGCTCAGCAGCCCTGGATAGCATTGGCAGCCCCGAATGGAGGAAGTCCGGAGCTGACGGTATCAACTCTAGTTGGGCTGTCGATCGCAACAACGGCAAGCTTCCCAACGCGACGTTGTCAATCACAGGCAGCGGGAAGACAGAGCCTACCCAGGCCAAGCCGGAGACGGGCGTCATCAATCCCACATGGGCAGAAGATTGCATTGTAGGGGGCGGCCCCGAGTGCAAGAGATCCAGGGTTGGCGGAACAAAGCCGAGCTTACCAGGGCTTTGAGGTATCAAGAAGGCTCCCATATGTGTGAAGTCCATGGCTAGGATGGCAGGGTCAGCACGGCAGAAGCTTTGGGAGGGAAGCGCAGACTCGGTGTGCATGCTATCAAGAATTGACAGCGAAGAGCTGCAACGGGTGAAGCTGCGTGCAAACAAGGCCAAGCCTAGATGCGCGCACTCAGTCACAGGCAGAGGGGATACGGGTCCTGGTCTAGAACGGCCCGGCACAGAAAGGACTGCATCAACTCGAGCAGGGCTACGAAGGGACAGCGTCGAGCCCGTGTGCAAGAAATCTGACAGAAGCAGGCTTATGCCCAAGCGTGCATGGCTCCTGGTAAACACAATTGGCCCTGCCTGACACGTGTCCAAGATGGAAAGGGAAGGTCCCAGTTTCACGACTGAGGATATCAACATGGCAGGGCCCGCATGTATGAAGGTTCGCGCAGACAGAAGTAGTTCTGAACGCGAAAAGTCTGAGACCAAGGGAGGAGAACCCAGCCGCGCGCACGATCGCAAGGGCGAAGACAGCCCAGGAAGAGAGGAGTCAAGAGCTGACAGGCTCAAACCCATGCAGGCAACACCTGCAGCGAACGTGGATGTGCCCAGCTGTGCCAGGGACCGCAGTAAAATTGGGAAGTCAGAATGTGCGAAGGAGAGAACTGCAACCGCGGATTCAGCCCTGGCACAGGTTCGTGACAGCAGGGGGGGACCAGAAGTTGCAGATTCAGTGACTAACAGTGCGAAAACAAGGCCCGCACGAGATAGGCCCAGCAAGGGCACTGTGAGTTCTAAGCGCAAAAACTGTTTCGCCGGCATTGATGGGTCGGGTGTGGCAAGATCAAGAACCAGCAAAACAGCCTCAAGGCGTGTAGGCGAACGCACAAATGCAGTGGAGCCTAGAAGGACAAGGTCCAGCGCCAGCAAAAGGGCACCAACCCGAGTGCAACCGAAAGCCAGCGGCAAAGGCTCAGGGCAGGCGTGATCACGGAGGAGAAGCAGAGCATCAAGTTGGGTGAGGTCTGATGCTAGAGGCGTAAGGCCCATGCAGGCTAGTCCAAACACTAAGAAGGCGAATCCAAATTGAGTAGGGCTGCGGACTGACACTAAGGGGTCAAACATGGCATAATCCAGCAGAAACGTCAAGCTGTCAGGACATGCAGGTGATTGCGAAAGCAGGACAGATCCGAAGTGCGCACAATCTGAAACAAGCAAGCTCAGACCTGACCACACCACACCAGAGGCTAGAAGCGCAAGGCCAGCATGCGCCTTATGCTGCAACAGCGTCATAGGCCCCAAGTGCATGGAATCCAAGGCCAGAAGCAAGAGGCCTAGCCTTACGAGGCTTCTTAAAGTCAGGACAAAGCCCAAGTGCAGGAGGTCAGGCACCAACAGGCTTGGGCCAGATCTTCCCAAGCCGCACAGAAAAGGCATCAAGCCCACATAGACATAGTTTTGCAAAAGCGTCAAAGAGCCCGTGTGGACAAGGTCAAGCAAGGGCATCGCCGCGTTTAGCCTCACAAACGACCGGACCGGCAAAGAAGGGGCCACGTGCGCAAAGTTTGGTGCCGATGCCACTGGCCCGAGGCGAGCGGGGCTTCGAGGGAGCATTGCTAGGTCTAAGTGCACAACATCGAGAACCGAAGGCATCAAGCCCATACACACATTACCGAAGGCTAAGAAACTGAGGCCAGGTCAAGCAGAACTGTGGAGCAGCACGCTAAAGCCGATCTGAAGGAAGTCCAAAACAAGCACGAAAAATTCAAGGCAAGCAAGGCTCTTTGGAAGCAATGCCGGGCCAGAAGTAACCCAATCCAGAATCAATGGACTGAAGCCAAATCGCACTCGCCCACAGACTGCGAGGTTTTGGCTCGCGAAGCCGCTGGGGAATTTCAGATCTCCAAAGGCGGACAACAAGAAGCCCATCCTTGTAGAGCCTTGCGTAGGAAGCAGCAGTTCTAAGTGCAAGGAATCCAGCGCTGAAAGCGCTGGCCCCAGGCAACTGAGGCTTCGAAGCAACATTGCAGGCCCCACGTGAGCAGAGTCAGGAACTAGCAAGCTGACGCCCGTCCGATGCATGCCTGATGGCAGCACAGAAACATCTACACAGGCAAAGTCATGCGTCAGCAGCACGGCTCCTAGGTGAGCAAGGTCCAGAGCTGGCAACAGCACCTCAAACCTGGACAACCCACACACGGGAGGCAGAGAACCAGACCTGCTGGAAGTGTGAACTGACGGAGGGAATCCTGACTTCAGGAAATCTGGCATCAGCACTGCTGGCCCCAAGCGGGCTGGTGATTGGATTGGCGCAGTCGGTTCCAAGCAAGCAAGATCTGACACTGCAAGTGATGAGCCAGAGCAAGTGACCCCAACAACCAAAGGCGCTGGTCCCAACCGCCCATGATTGCGTGTTGGCAGCAAAAGTCCTGGATGCAGGAGGTCTAAAGCTGACGCTGACAAGTCAAGTTGCGAAGACGACCGCAGAGACAAAGGCAGTTCAAGCTGTAAGAAGTCTGATGCTAGCACAGCTAGGTCTGGTGGTGCAAAGCTGTGCGACAGCAGGAAAGGCTCTGGCTGGGTGAAATCAAGCACGGGCGAGGACGCTTCAACGCGAGCCATTCCAGATGCCAACGAAGCCAGGCCCAGCCACGCAGAGTTACGCGACAAAAACGATAATCCGGCATGAGAGAAATCTGAAACAAGCAGGACCAGGCCCAGCTGAGCGCGGCTGCGCAACAGCAGAGCGAAGCCAAAGAGCGCAAAATCCAGAAGCAGCGGTAAAGAGCCAAGTCGCACCAGTCCTCAGGTGTGAAAACATTCCAAAGCTTAATTAAAGCAAAGCTACAACAACATGTCCAATGTCCTGCATGTCATGATTCCCACCTGCATTGCACTTGCGTCACAAAACTGGCGCTACCTAGAGCCAGCCTCCCCTGCTTGCCACCCAGCATCCGACGGTCAGCGGTGCAGGCCCCAGGACCCCGGAGCTGCGCACTGATGGCATTGGCCCGAAGCATCCCGTGCCAGAGGCAAAAGACGCTGAGCCACTCCTGCCAGGACTTCCGTCGTGTTCATCCCGCTACGTGACTACTTTGGGGGTGTCTCTGTGACTTGAGTACTCTAGATTCTAGACCCAGTTGCTTAAGAATCAAATTCTACAGGATCTACGCTCTAAGCGGCTGCAGCACACTCCTACACGGTCTTCCTACATCACATGAGCCATAGTCTAAACTCCTAGTATCACCCTTAATAACCATTATACTAGTCCCCTATATAATCCCCTATATAACCCACCTTTAAGGAGTTTAGACTATTGCTCACATGGTTCTGCCCGCCCATGGTTCCCATGAACATGAAGTCAGGCGGTCCTTGCGAAGCTGCGTAGCAAAATCGGCAAACCGAGTGTCATGGGATCCAGGGCTGGGGTCGATGATTCCGGACACACGAGGCTGCGGGACGAAGCCGCACTTTCAAAATGCGAAAGATCCAGCGCAGATGATGGGAAGCCCGAGCGCGATATACCTGCCAGTAACATTGCTGTGCCGAGATGGGCCATGCTTTGGGGCAACAGCGACAAGCCGATTGCACCAGAGTCCGACAATGACAGAGAGAGCCCGAGGCACGTGGAGCTCCTCGATGACATGGATGATCCCAGAGCCACGCGATCAAGTGCAAGCAGAGATAGGCCCAGGCGTGTGACGCCCAAAGCTGTAAGTGCCGGCTCTAAGTTCGCAGAGCTTTGTGGCAGCAGCGGGGCATCCAAGTGCAGGGAGTCCAGCACAGAAACAGCCAGCCCGGTGTATGAGCAGCTTTGGGGTGAAAGAGAAGGTCCCAGATTCAAGGAATCCGGCAAAGGCAGGGAAGGGGCTAACCTGACAACGCCAAGTACTAGGGCGGCGAGGCCAGAGTGCGCACGGCTTTGCAAGAAAGCTGCCAAACCGAGGTGCAGGAAGTCCAAGGTCGGCATGACTGCTCCAAGCCTTGCAGTGTTACGAGCCGATGACAAGGGCCCTGCATGGCTGAAGTCCAACAAAAGGAGAGCCGGCTCTGGGTAAACGTGGCTACGCAGCAGCAGCAGCGAGCCCAACTTAAGGAAGTCCGACGCAAAAGCCACTGATTCGGGTCAGGCGAAGCTTTGGGGCAAAGGCAGAAAGCCCAGATGCAAGAAGTCCAAAGCCAGAGCCAACAACCCCATTCTGCCTGAGCTCCGCAATGAGACAGAAAGTCCCAGCCGAGTAAAGTCAGTGACTGGCAAGGAGAAAACGGATCCCAACCAGCTCAATCCAGGCACAGGTGCGGTTAGATCAGCCCTCATGAGGCTTTGGAATGGCAAAATTGATCCAGGACGCAGTGAGTCCAGCACAGGCATTGCCAAGTCCAAGCATGCAAAGCTCCGCACCAACGGGGGCAAGCCGAACAGAGTAGGATCCAAAACAGGTAGCGCCAAGTCAACTCAAATGCCGCCAAAGGCCAATGCTGCAGGGTCGAGTCTGCCAGAGCTCCTCAAAGGCAACAAGGCTTCCAAATGCAAGAAATCCGGAACTGACAAAGCCGGGTCCGCACGGCACATGCTCCGCAGGGGTGCTGGTGCATCTGGGTGCAGGAGGTCCGAGGCTGGCACTGATGAGCCGAGGCGGGCCAAGCTTCGAACAGATGAAGAAAAGCCAGTCAGAGCAACATCTAAAGCGGATGCCAGCAAACCGGGGCAACCAATGCCGGAAGCCAAGAGGGCCAAGCCAGGGCACGCAGAGCCCCTCAAAGGTATCGACGGGCCGGGATCCAAGGAATCAGTGGCAGGCAATGACAATCCTAGCCGTACATGCGAACGGGCTGAAAGCAGGGACTCAGGCTGTAGAGAGTCCAGCACAGAAGCTGCGAAATCACATCATGCCAAGCTCCTCAATGACGGCACTGAACCCAAACTTGCGGAATCTGGCACAAGCAACATTGAGCCGCAGCATGCCACGCCCGACACAAACATGGCCAGGCCAGCGCACAAAAATGATTGCAATGAAGGGAAGAACTCTGTTTGAAGAAGGTCCAAGGCCAAAGGAGAGAAGCCACAGCAAATAAAACTTTGCACTGATAAGGACGAGTCAAGGCGCAGCAGGTCCAGTACAGGCGTTGCAAGGCCCGTGCAAGCAATGCTGCGGACGAACAACAGCAGACCAGGATGAGTAGAGTCTGAGGCAGGCGGTGGGGCTCCAGACCGAGCAACTTTGAAGGCCAACAGCACAGAGTCAGAATGTGCAAGCGAACGCAGCAACATGAACGGTCCCGTTTTCAGATAGTCCAGCACTGAAGCTGCCGCATCAAGACAAGCAGGGCTTTGCACGGGCAGCGGACTGCCCAGGTGCCCCATTTCTGTCAAAAATAGCAAGAAGACAAATTCTGGGCAAGCCAAGCCAAACAGCAGAACAACAAGCCCCAATTGGACGGCAGACCTCATCAGCATCATGGGTTCTGTGTGTGCGAAATCCAAGGTCAACAAAAAGGGACCTGACCTCGCAAGGCTTTGCAGCAGCAATGCAGAGCCGAGTTCAACAAGGTCTGGTGCCAGCAGTGGGCTGTCTGGTCGAGTGGCACCGAACACGCTCGATGCGGGACCCACGCGTGTGTGCGACCGGGTCGGAAAAGCAGGGCCAGGTTCAAGGAGGTCTAGAGCTGGCGGCGAACTGCCAGGCCATGCAAAGCTTCGCAGGAATAGCGCCGAGCCAAACTGTGCAAGGTCTGGTGCAGACAGCAGCAATCCCAACCGTCCAGTTGAGAAGAGAGCGGTCGAGGAGTCAAGTGTAACGAGGCTGCGCGCAGAAGGCATGGATCCACAGCATGAGCCTCCAAATGCTGAGAAAGCGAGATCAAGCCATGCTAGGCTCTTCAGCAGCAGAGGCGGGTCCAGATGCAGAAGGTCGGGCACGGATGTTGTGGAGCCTGAACAGCAGGAGCTTTGCGCTGACAAGCTGAAGCCCATCTTGACAAAGTCCAGGGCTAGAACAGAAGCACCTGGTCTTGCACAACTCCTTACAAGCATGGCAAGTCCTGCAAGCACAAGGTCCAGGAGTGGTACTGTTGCACCTGAGCAAGCCAGTCCAGAGGCAGGCAGCACAGGATCTAGCCAGGCAAAGGACCGGAGAGGTGCGGTAAATCCTGGGTGCAAGAAGTCCGGAGCTGATGACACAGCACCAGGTTGCCCAAAGCTACGCAAAAGGATGGAAGAGCCTGGCTCTGCAAAGTCTGACAGAAAGGGTGATGCTTCAGTGCGCGCAGCACCGGAAGCAGATGGTGCCAAATCGAAGCATGCAGAGCTCCGAACCAACAAGGAGATGTCAGGATGTAGAAAGTCTAAGGCTAAGACAGAGACTTCACAACAAGCAAGGCTACGAACGAGCATCAACAAGCCGGTGTGTACAAAGTCCAGCGCTGGTGAGCTGGAGGCCATCCATGTGATCCCGGAGGTCAACACGGCAAAGTCTGGCTGCGCAGGGGACCGGAGTGTAGGTGAGGAGCCCAGCTCTGTAGAATCAGGTGCTGGAATCACAAAACCAAGGCAAGCAGGGCTTTGCATAGGTAGCGCTGGCTCTGAGCAAGTGCAGTCAAGTGCTGGGGGTGGAGAGCTCATTCTGGCCTGGCCAAAGATCAAGGAAGCCAAGCCCGAGCGTGCGTAGTTGTGCAGTGAACATGAGAAACCGAGGTGGAGAAGGTCAATCATAGGCACAGAAAGCTCAGTGCGTGCAGGACTCCTAGTCAACGAGCTGGATTCTGAGTGCGCATAGTCTGGCAAAGATGCACTCAGGCCTGTGCAAACGTAGCTTCGGACTGATGGCACAGGCCCCAGTCCAGCAAAGTCCAGTAAGGGAAGAGTCACACCCAGATGTGCATGGCTGCGAGTCGACAGAGCAGGCTCTGTTGCCACAAAATCCGAGATAAGGGCTGACAGCTCTGGACATGCTGAAGATTGTGCTGGCATGGGGAGACCTGTATGAGCGAAGTCTGGCACAGACATAAGAAGGCCACAGCAAGCAAGAGACCTCGTAGACAGAAGGGGTCCTGAATGCAAAAAATCGAGAACGGACAGTACCAATCCCACTTGCACCAGGCTTCGGGCAAACATCAAAGGCTCTGGATAGGCAAAGTCTAGGGCAAATGATGAAGAGCCAGCTGAAGCCCTACTAGACACGGATGCAAAGCTGCCAGGGCATTGGAAGGATCTGATGGACAGCAAGGAGCCCATGATCAGGGAGTCAGGTGCTGGCGAAGCGCTGCCTTAGGAGAGCATGAGGGATGAGTTCTGAGACTTTCAGGCCTGAACCGGCCTAACAAGTTCACACAACCCTTGCAGATACAAAGATATCGCTCGACACAGCGGATTGCAGCTTCTGCTCAACATGACTGCATATAGAAAAATCTACTCTGACGCGAGTCTAAGTTGACAAGCACCCAACATAACATCGACCTCTACTTTCTCAAGCAGAACCTTTCACATCGTTGTGATTAGCCCCACTCGCTTCAAATCATAGGTGAGTCCCATCGCCAACTGCAACCAGAGTGCCCGTTCACAGAGAGCTTTGCGGCAACGCGAGGGATCCCAGCAGTACACGATCTGGGGCTGGCCTGGCATTTGCATCGGATGGTGAGGTAATGCCTGGTTTGCAGCATGGAGGTAAGCATCAGTAAATCGTGCAAACAATCAATCATGGCCAAGGAGCAGCAAGGGGCCCATTCGGGCCAGCCCAAACAAAAGCAGAGCAACTTCCGGCTGGCCAGAGCTCCTGCAGCTCATTCTTTGACAAGATCCGAGGGTAAAAACCTTCTGTCCGGAAAGGTCCTTGAAGACATGAGGCTTCCCGAGTAGAGGAAGTCCAGAACAGAGAGGGATAGCTCGAGACATCCGGGGCTGTGCGCGAGCGAAGGCCTTGCACGTTTTGCAGGATGATTGTTTATGCGACTTCCGATGTAAGCAAACTTCCCCAAACCACTAAGGCAGAAACGGCTCAAACTCCGTGAAGTCCATGACCTGTCACAGGTCCAAGGTGTCATGTCTTTGAGTAAGTATGCAAGTAGATCCCACATGGTCCTATCCTAGCAAGAGCTGAGGCATAGGCAGGAACTACAGGGTCCAAGTGAGTGAAGCTTCTGGTGGGCGACATTGGCCCGCAGTGTACCTGGTGCTAGAGGACAGTGGGTTCTCTGTCCTTCAAGGTTACTTGTTGAGAAGTCTTCAACAAGCCGACAAAGACTTGAAAGCTTGATAATGACTACTAACTTGCATTGTTGGATTCATGCCGTCTTATTGAGCCAGCCCTAATTGTGCTTTGTTCGGTGCAGGGCCCAGCAATGGCCTTGTTAGACATGTTTTCCTTCCAGAGCCAGGGTTGCAGCCCAAAATATACAATGAGGGCTAAAGTTCTAGTAGTCTGACAGGATCATGCCAAATTACTGCGACGAAAAGCGAACCAAACCAGTTCCACAGCTACCTTGACATGTTCCAAGGAGTTTGCTTTGTCTGGGGGCACATGGTCTGGAACAAGCAGAGAAGCGCCAGGATGGGCAAGGCCTTAGTATCTGTGGACTCGGCCCTCCCATCAAGATCCATCAGCAGCCACCTCTTACGGGAAAATGAATCTAAGCTCCAGGCTTCTAATAGGCAGCACGCTGTCCGCGTGAACAAAGTCCAAGACAGGTGCTGAAGGTCCTGGGCCATGACTCGATTACGCTCTGCTCGGCATGCTATAACCATGGTTAGCAGATGTTAGCCAACTTTCACATGAGACTGGATTTCATCTTTCAACCCCAAAGCCCTCAAAGCCCAGCGTCCTGGTCTTCCAGGGCTTCGCGCAGACGTCAGAGGGCCAGGGTGAGCATGGTCAGGAGCCAGCGAAAAGGTTCCCAAGCATGCGTGCGATTGCATGAGCAGCAGCGGCCCTGGGTGCAGAAGATCTGGCACTGGTACAACAGAGCCAGGGCATGAAAAGCTGTGAACCAGCAGCAGAGAACCCATGTGCACAAAGTCCAGCGCGAGCGATGGGAAGCCTGCCCTTGCAACACCAAATGCCGAAAACGGGCTTTCAGGTTGCGCGAAGCTGCGCATGAACATCATCGGCCCAAGGTGTAAGGAGTCCGGCGCGAGCAGAGCCACTTCAAGCCAAGTGAAGCTGTGCGGCAATGCAGCAAGACCCAGCTGCACGGAATCCGGGGCAAACGTTGAAGCATCAGGCCAAGCAACGCCTGAGACAAACAGGAGCAAGCCGAAGTGGCAGCTGCTGTGCAACAACAGTGGGGGCCCCAATCCAAGGAAGTCTGGTGCTGGCACTGCGCTGTCAGTGCGGCAAGATGATTGCGAAGGAGATGAAGCCCCCACATGTACAAGGTCCGAGGCGAACAGCGTAGGCCCAGGCCTAGCAAAGCCTCGCAGCAGCATGACCGTGCCCGAGTGCAAAAGGTCGGGAACAGGCAAAGCGAAGTCAGGACGAGCGAAGCTTCGCATTAGCAGCATCAATCCCAGATGTAGAAAGTCTGAAACGGAGGCTGCGGACTCTGGTCACGCGAAACTTCGCAAAAAGACAGCTAGACCCAGAAGTGCAGAGTCCAGCAAAAGTGGCAAGGTTTCCAAAGTTGCTCTGCTGAAGGCGGGGAAGGAGGAGCCTGGGCATCCACAACTGCGTAAGGGCAGGAAAGGGCCGGGTTCGCAGCAATCCAACACAGGAAGGGACAAACCGGAGCGAACGGACTGAAATGCAGAGGAGGCCAGACCAAGTCAAGCAAAGCCTTGTAGCAGGGGCGTACTGCCAGGATGCAGGAGATCCGGCACTGAAAGCGAAGAGCCCAGGTAAGCCATGCTGCGCAAGGGGAGTGCCAAGTCAAGCTGCACGAGATCCAGGACTAACAGCAAACTGCCAAGCCAAGAAGTGCCACACGCAGGCAGCGAAGAGCCCGAGCACCCCATGCTACGCAATGGCGTGGATAGCCCAGGCTTTGCAAGGTCCAGTGTGAACAGTGAAGATCCCAACCTTGACATGCTGCGCAACGGCAAGGGCAGGCCCAATCGAACGAGGTCAAGGGCTGACAGGAATGCGCCTGACCAACAAACTCCGCAAGGCAAGAATGCACTTCCCGGCCGAGCATGGCTGTGTAGCGGCAGAGCTGAACCCGAATGCAGGAAATCTGAGGCAGACAGCACCAAGCCCGTGTAGCAAAAGCTTTGCGCAGGAACAGCCGGTCCGAGGCAGGCGGAGTCCAAGGTCAACGACGTGAGGTCAAGTTGCACCTTGCCGAAGGCTAGCATCACGCTTCCGATGCAAGAAGGGCTACGAAGGAAAAGCAGAAAGCCCAAGTGCAGAGAGTCAGGCACGGATGAAGAAAAGCCGAGTCACGCAAGCGACCGCAACAACATGGAACTGCCAACATGCTGGTGGTCCGGTACGAGTGAAGAAGCATCCAGCCAGGCAGGGCTATGGATAGAAGGAAATGGGCCCAAATGCAAAGGGTCAGGTGCTGATGCGGCAGAACCCATGCATGCAAAACTTTGCAGTAGCAATGGCAGACCGAGTTGGAGGAAGTCTGGCGCGGGAGCCGCCGAACCCGTTCGTGAGAAGCTACGAAGCAGGGCAGCCAAGCCTGAGTGCGCAGAGTCAAGCAAAGGAGGTGGCAGGCCAGCACGACACATGCCCCAAGCCGAAATCGCAAAGCCACCGCGCATGAAGCTCTGCAGTGACAGCGAGAAGCCTGGGTGTGTGAAGTCTGAGACTGAAGGGCTTGGTTCGAAGCGAAGCCGCTGAGACGCGGAAGGCGTCAATCCTAGGTATCCGGGGCTCCTCATAAATGGCAGCAGGCCCAAATGCAGAAGGTCCAGAGTCAACAGGGCTAGACCCAAACGAGCAAAGCTTTGAAGCAATGGTCCTGAGTTTAGCTGAGTGAGGTCCGGCGCTGACGTGGACAGGTCCATGCAGCTGCAACCGAAAGGAGACAACAGAAAGTCTGGACGTCCATGGTGTTGCGATGGCAGCAAGGAGCCTGGTTGCAAGGTATCCAGAATTGGCACTGCGAGGCCCGAACGAGCGAAGGAACGCAACAGCACCGCAGGACCCAGCAGAGCAAAGTCCATGACAGGCACTGGAAATCCCATCCAGCCTAGTCCAGAGGCAAAGAGGGTCGGCTCAGGCTTCGCAAAGCTGTGAGGAAACATTAAAAACTCTGAGTGCAAGAGGTCCAAAACTAGCAGGGCCAATCCAGGACGCACCGCACTTCTTGCTGTCGGGCTGGAACCTGGATGAGTGGAATCCAGCACTGGCAAGAATAGTGCAAGCCGCCCAGTACCCGTCACCAACAGCATGGAGCCAAAGCAAGCCATACTGCGCGCAGACATAAACAGGCCCGGGCGAAGAAAGTCCGGCACAGACGCAGCGAGTCCTGATCTTGCCGTGGATTGCAGCGGTGGCACAGACTCAGGATACGCATGTTCCAGTAAAGGAGATGGTAGGCCAAAGCAAGCCAGCCCGCAGGCCGAGAAACAAGATCCGAAGCGCGCCACACTTCTCGGAGAAGTCAAGAGCTCGGAGCTTGCAAGGCTGTGAAGAAACAGCAGAAAACCCGGATGCAGGAGATCCAGGACTAGAATCACAGGTCCTGGTCTGGCCATGCTTCGCAGAAGAGGCGGCGATTCGAGGTGGATAGGGTCTAGTACAAAAAGCAAAGGGCCGGGTCGGCCAATTCCAAAAGCTGGGGCAGCAAAGCCCACCCGTGAGGAGCTGCGAGGCGCTAAAGCACTTCCCGCATATTTATGATCCGGAGGTAACGGTGACGCATCAAGGCGTATTTTCCCGGAAGCCGAAGAAAGCAAGTCCACCCGGCTGAAGCTCCTCAATAATGGCAAAATGCCTGGATGCAAGAAGTCTAACACGGGAAGAGTTGGGTCTGCGTAAGCGCGGCTACGCAAGGACGACCCGCTGCCGAACGCTGCAAGGTCTAGCACAAACGCAAGTGATCCAAGCCGTCCAATTCCGAACGAGGCTAAGGTGAAGTCGAAACAACCAAAACTGTGAAGGAGCAACACGGACTCTGAATGCAAAAGGTCCAATGCTGAAGGAAGCAGACCCAAGCGCCCGAAGCTTCGTGCAGATGGCAAAGGCTCTAGCAACACGTGGTCCAACACCGGAGACAAAGGCCCGAAGTTGGCCACGCCGAGCAAAAGGGACGCGGAGCCAAAGCATGCGAAGCTTTGCAAGGGCAGCGCTGGGTCAAAGTTTGCAGGGCATCGTGCAAATAGCGCGAATTCGAGATCAGAGGGGTCTGGCGCTGGCGAGGAGGCGTCAAAGCGTACCTTGCCAAAGAGCAACAGAAAGGAACCCATTCAAGCAAGGGACCTCGGAGGCATCATCAGTCCCGAATGCAAAGAGTCTGGCACCAGAAGGATAGGCCCCATTCTGGCACGGCTGTGTGAAAGTGAGGGGAAGTCAAGATGGGTGAAGTCTGGCACTGAGGGCATCAAGCCCACCCTGCCAATTCCAAAGGCCGGCATCACGCTTTCTAGTTGTCCCCATGAGCGCAGAAGCAGCAATAAGTCTGGATGCAAAAAGTCCAAGACAAGCATTGAAAAGCCCAACTTGGCCAGGCTTCGAGGCAGAAAGGGCGAGCCAAGGAAAGTGTGGTCAGGTGTCGGGGAAGAGAAGTCGCAGCAAGAAACGCCGAAGGCTGGAAATGTGAGACCAGTTCTTCCAGGGTTTCTCACAAAGGAGGGCAAGCCAGGATGCAGGGAATCCAGGGTGGGCATCGCTGAGTCCAAACGCGCAATGCTGCGCACCGAGGCCGATGGTCCCAGGCCGGTAAAGTCCAACACAAATAGCGTAAGCCCTGCCCAAGCCATCCCGCATGAGGAAGACGAGCTGTCAGAGCACGCGGGCATTTGCAGAGATGTGGAACTGCCAAAGCTTGCGGGACTGCGCAAGGGAAGCGACGGTCCAGGATGCAAAAAGTCCAGCACGGGTAGGGAGGGTTCAGGTCAGGCCATGCTTCTCAGAAGCAAGGCTACGTCCAGATGAGCAAAATCTGAAGCAAGCGTCAGCACATCCAACTTTGACCCGCCCATCACTAAAACAGTCAAACCAAATTGAATGGAAGAGCGCACGAACAGTGGGCTGCCTGAGTGAAGAAAGTCTGATACCAACAAAAATGGCCCGAGCCTTGCGGAGCTATGTGGCGACGACGTAAGCCCTGCCTCCATGTAATCCAACACCGGAAGAGAGCTTCCGGAACAACTGGCGCCCGTGGCAAATGGGAAACTTCCCAGACATGCCGTGCTGCGCAGTGGCATTGAGGGGCCAAGGTGGAGGAGGTCTGGAGCCGACAGGCTTAACTCCAAGCGCGCAAGACTTCTGACAGGCAGGGTTGGACCCAACTTGGTAAGGTCAGGCACGGACGCGGGGAATCCCAGATGCGAAGAGCTGCGCAGGAGCAAGGCTATGCCTAAAAGAGCTACATCCAAGACCAGCGGTGACGCTTCAAGCCTTGCTCTGCTGGAAGTCGGCACCGCACTTTCAAATCAACCTAAGCTGTGCAAGGAGGGAGGCAAGCCCAGCTTGAGGAAGTCCAAAACCAGCACCGCAAGCCCAAACCTTGCAGCGGATCGAAGCAGCAAACAGGAGCCCGGGTGCAAGAAATCCAAAACCAACAAAGCCGGTCCAGGTCTTGCACGGCTTTGTGCAGAAGGCGCCGGTCCCAAGTGAGCAAGATCCAGTACAAGAATTGATGACCCAAAGCGCGCGAAGGCAAAAGCTGACAGCCCAGGGCCAAAGCAAGTGTGAGTTCGCGCAGGAGTCAACAACCCCAAGTGCAGAGAGTCCAGAGCAGACAAGCTTGCATCTGGCCGCGCATGGCTTTGAAGCAACACTGTTAGGTCAAGGTGAGTAAGTTCCAGGGCTGAAAGAAACAATCCAGGCCGCACGGTTCCAAAGGGAAAGGCTGCAAGGCCCATGTGGCAGTGGCTTTGCAAAGATGTCGGCAAGCCTGGTCTCAAGAGGTCAGTAGCTGGCAGAGGCAAACCCAATCAAGCGGCGCTTCGCGCCAAAATGGACGAGCCGAGGTTCACGAAGTCCGACAAGGACAGGGTACTGCCCAGTCGCGATGCGCCTGGCACAGGCACCGGCAACTCCGAGCATCCGAAGTTCCTCGCTGGCATCGGAGAATCAAAACTAACAAGGTCTATTATAGGAACTGCAGGTTCCAGGCGGGCGGGGCTTTGCAGTGACGGGGAGGCATCTGGATGCAGGAAGTCCGAGGCCGACACAACAGAGCCTGAACAACCGAAGCTTTGGAGAGATGAGGATGGCCCCAGCGCCAAGTAGTCCAAGGCTAGAGTCGGCAAGTCCAGACAACCATGAGATTGCAGCGGCAACGTAGATCCCAAGCACAAGAAGTCGAGAGCTGACACGCTAACTTCCAAACACGCGTGGCTTCTAACAGACACGAAGAATCCTGCCTGCATGTAGTCCATGGTTAATGGAGCCAATCCGAGCTGAGAGGATGATTGCAGAGACACGGTGGACTCAAGGTTCACGGCATCTGACACCAGCAGCGAGGGCTCCAAGCGGCATAGGCCAGCAGCGAACAAGGAAGAGCTCAAGCAGGCAAAGGATCTCAGCAACATTGCCAGGCCCAAGCGCAGGTAGTCCAAGGCAGGAAGCAAACTGCCAGGCCAGGCTGAGCTCCTCGAAAGCAGAGAAACGCCTGGACGAGTGAAGTCCAAGGCAAACAATGAGCTTTCCATGGCACAGAGACCGCAAGCTGATGAAGTCGCACCTGGCCTGCTGTAAGATCTTAGTAGCAAGGCAAAGCCTAAATGCAGAAAGTCCGAAGCTGATACCAATGATTCAAGCCAGGCGGAGCTTTGCAGTGAAGGAAAGAAGCCCAGGGCTGTCATGTCAAGGGCTGACAGAGTGAAGCCTAGACACACCCTTCCCGTCACCAGCAACAGCGGGCCAGGTCTCGAACTAGTCCGTGCGGGCGAGAAAGAGCCCAAGTGCAAGGAGTCCAGGGCTAACGTAGTCAGACCGAACTGTGTCAAACTCCGTACCAACAGAGGAGCATCCAAATGCAGAAGGTCGGTAGCCGATGGTGGCAGGCCGGGTCAAGCTGTGCCTTGTGCTGATGGGGAAGAGCCAAAAGTTACCATGTCAGTGGCTGGCAGCAAGGACACGAAACCAAAGCGATTTAGGCCGAATACGGGAAGCAACAAGTCCACTTAGCTGGGGCCTCGCAGCAGCGGCATAAGTCCCAGGTGCAAGGGGTCAGTCGTAGACGAAGAGAAGTCTGGTCGGGAAAGGGATCGGATAGAGGGCAAAGAATCTAGATTGACAAAGGTCAAGGTCGGCGCCATGAAGCCCGGACGGGCCAGGCTGTGGGGTGACGGCACAACATCCAGGTGCGTGAGGTCGAGCACTGGGAGGCTGGAGCCCAGACGAGTACACGACATGGCAAACACCAAGGAGCCCAATCGCGTGACACTTCTGGTAAAAGGCAACGGGTCGAGCTGGCCGAAGTCCAGCATGCTCAAAGCCGTGCCTGTGTAGCAGAGGCTTCTCACAAAAAGAGGTGGTCCCAAGTGCGCAGGGTCCAGGACCAGAAGAGTGACCTCTGACTGCACAGATCCACATATCGAGCATCCGGGCCCAAGTCTGGCAGGGCTACGCACCAGCATCAGTAGCCCGAGACGCAAGAAGTCTGATGTTGACAATAGCAAATCAAATCGAACCATCTTGTAGATCGAAACTGGACTCTCTAATCGGCTAGGTGATCGGGCCAGAAGCAGGAATCCCAAATGCATGAAGTCTGGGACGGGCAATGGCAAACCTCCACGCATGAATGAGTGTGCCAACAATGTGAAACCTAACTGAAGATGGTCAAGCGCGGACGTAGGAGGACCCGTTCAAGCATGCGCATGCAAAGATACGAAGAAGCCAAGGTGACTGAGATCAAGCGCGGGCAATGGCAAACCTGACCTGCTTGCGCTGAGGGCAGCGAAGGATGATCCGGGCCAGCTGAGGCATCGCAACGGCAGCGGGAGGCCTGGCTTCAGAAAGTCCAGAGCCGGAGCTGCCGAGCCAAATCGCGCAACGCTTCGCAGCGGCAACAAGAAGTCAGGACCGACAGAATCAGGTGCCAACAAAATCAAACCCAGACATGTCATTCCGGAGACAGGCACTGTGAGGCCCGGTCTGCTGGGATCTTGCATCGACAGCAGGGATTCAAGGTTGAGGAGATCCGGCACGAATATCGGCAAGCCAACCCAAGCAAGGCTTCGAAGCAACAGCAGCAAGTCCAAATGCGCAAAATCCAGGACGAGCAACATGGGCTCAAAGCGCACACTGCTCATCACCAGTGGGGTGGCTCCAGGTTGCACCCAGGATCTCATCGAAAGAAGCAGCCCTAAATGCAGAAAGTCAGGTGCCAGCAGCATCAAGCCACATCGGGCCAGGCTCCGCGCTGACAGCGGTGGTTCCGGAACTGTGAAGTCCAGCACTGGGAGAAAGGGCCCCAGACGCAGCTCTCCAAGGGCCAAGACGGTAGACCCTGTGCGTTGGAAGGACCGCGCGAACAAGGGCAAGTCCGGGTGAAGAAGGTCTAACACCAAAAGGAAGAGTTCAAAATGCGTAAAGCTTCGAGCTAGCGATGAAAAGTCAAAGTGCGTGCACTCAGTGGCTGACAGCAAGGACACGAAACCCGATCGCGTTGACCCTGGCGCAGGCGGTAGTGCATCCGAGCGGCAAGGACTTCTCAGGAACATCAGCAGACCAGGCTTCACAAAATCAGGAGCAAGCACGGTCACTTCAAGCCACGCGTAGCTTCTGAGGGAAGGCAATAATTCTGAGTGCAGGTAATCCAGCACTAGTGGCAATGAGCCAAGTGTCACACGACTGAAAACTGCCAAAGGCAAGCCTGGCTGCGCACGGTCTCTCGGCGGCAGCATCGGGCCAGGATGCAAAGAGTCCAACACAGGGAGCGCCAAGTCTGTTCAACTGAGGCTTTGCAGGAGTAAGGGCGAGTCAAGCCGCGTGAAATCAAGCACTAGAAGCACCGGCCCTGAGCATGCAAAGCTATGAACGGATGGCGCCACGCCTAACTCTATGAGGTCTGGAGTCAACAGCAGGAATCCAAATCTGGCAACAGCTGCAGCAGATGAGGAGACACCCACGCAGCCGCTGCTATGCAGAAACAGCGGTGGTCCCAGGTGCAAGAAGTCCAAGGTAAACAAGTTCAAGCCAGGCTGAGCGGAAGAGCGTGCAGACAGAAGCAAGCCCAACTGAAGAGAGTCTAGCACAGGAAGAGGCAGATCTACGCAAACCCTTCCTAGAGCAGACAGGCTGGGCTCTGTGCATGCATAGCTTCGCAAAGACAAGATGGAGTCTAGCTTTAAGGGGTCTAGCACAAGCAGGTTCAGGCCTGAACGAACAGATGACCGCACGGGCAACAGGGCTTCAGGATTCAAGGAATCTGGTGCAGATGGGAAGCTGTCTAGCCACACTTCACCCATAGCTGGTGAGGAGAGGCCTAATCAGGACATAGATCGAACCAGAATCAGAGAGCCTAGGCGAATGTGGTCAGTTGTTGGGAAGGTAAGTTCTGACCGAGCCATGCCTTGCAAAGATGATGCAGGGTCCGGGTGCGTATGATCAGGTGCTGAAAGAAAAGCCCCTGGTCGACATGCTCCGGGCACGAGCACCAAGAATCCGAAACGGCTGAGGGAGCGCAGCAGGGGAGGAAGTCCGAGACGAGTGGGGTCAAGCACAGGCAATGCCAGGTCAAGCCGACAAGAGCTGTGAACAAGCAATACCAAGTCCAGCTCAGTGAGGTCCGAGGCAGACAGCATGGACGCCAGCCGGCAGGTACCCGTCACGGGCACGGAAGCACCCAAGTGTGACCATGAGCGTGGCAACATCAGCGGACCCATGCGGCCGAAGTCCGAAGTCAGTGGTGCTGGGTCAAGCTGTGTGGGGCTCCTCGCCGAAGGCATCAGCTCAAAGTGCGCGCGCTCTGTCACAGACAGGCTGAACACAAAACCCAGGCAAGTCAGACCAAGCGCAGGCGGCATGAGCTCAAGCTGGGCGAGTGACTGAAGAGGCAGCGGAGCTTCAAAATGAGCGCGATCCAACACAAGCATTGCCAAGCCCAGTCAAACATGGCTCCTTGGCAAAAGCGCGCTACCCAAGCTCACGAAGTCTGAAGCAGACAAAGCTGAGCCCAACCTGACATTTGCAACAACCAGCAAAGGAGGTCCTGGATGCATGTTCGTGCGGGGTGGAAGTGGGAGGCCTAGATGCAGAAAGTCTGGCACAAGCAAACAGAAGTCAGGACGGGCCGTGCTTCGCAGCAACGGTAATGGTCCCAAGTGCAAGGAGTCCAGTGCTGGCGGCCCACTGCCAAGACAGGCTAGGCTTCGCAGGGACAAGAAACTTCCCAAGCGAGTGTGGTCCAGCGCAAGCAGGATAGCTTCAAGGCATACGAAACTGCGTGCCAAAGGCACCGGGCCAGGATGTGTGGATTCTGTCACAAGCAGCAAGGATACAGAGCCCGAACAATTCAGTCCCAGAGCAGATACAAACAGCCCAGGCCTTACGAAGCTGCGAGCTGAAAGGGGAAACCCTAGTCGCGTGAACTCCGAAGCAAAGAGTGGCGCTTCAAGCCTTGAGAGGGAACGTAAAGGGACGGGCACATCGAGCTGGACAGGATCAAGCGCCAGCAGCATGACATCCAAACAAGAAACTCCCAGCAACAGCATGGGGAAGCCGAGGCTGCTGAGTGCACGAAGCGACAAGGAGCTGCCTGAATGCAGGAAGTCCAAGACAGGGACTGCAGACTCCAGTTGGGAAAGGCTTCGGAGTGGTGTGGGTACGCCCATGCCTGCAAAGTCCATTACCAGGACGCATGAGTCAAGACGCAAGTGGCTTCTGGGAAGCAGCAGCAGCCCTGGTTGCACAAAGTCGGGCGCAAGCATGGAAAATCCAAGCCAAGCAATTCCGCAGACAAGCGGAGTCGAGCCAAGGTGAAGCATGGACCTCATCAGCAGGATGGAGCCCGAATTGGCCAAGTCAGGAGCCATCATGAAAGTTTCAGGGCAGCATCTTCCAAACACCAAAAAGCTTAAGCCCGATTGCGAGTAGCTCCTCAAGGGTAATGTGGAGCCCGATTTCAGGAAATCAAGGGCCAGCAGCAGCAATTCTGGCCGTGCAGGGCTCCTCAGAAGCAGCGACGGACCGGGCAGCGTCCGGTCCGAGGCCAGCAGCAAAGGACCCGGTCGCGAGGCTCCCGTCACCAGTGGAGTGGGGCCGGCACGCGCAAGAGATCTCAGAAGCAACACAAAGCCCGGGTGCAGGAAGTCCAAAACCAGCAAGGCCAAGTCAGACCGGGCAAGCGAGTGCACAGGCAAGGTAGGGCCTGGTTCCAGAAAGTCCAGGACCGACGCTACTACGCCTGATCAAGCAAAAGACCGCACGAACAAAGATAGTCCAAGCTGCAGAAAGTCTGGCGCGGATGGGATTGACCCAGCTCGCAAGCGACTGTAGGTTGACGTCAGCGAATCAAGACGGCCAAACGCATGCAAAGGCATTATTGGACCAAGAACCAGGTGGTCCAGTGTCAGCAGCAGACTACCTAAAGTTGTCATGCCATAAGCCAATGACAAGAACTCGAGTCGTGCAAAGGAGCGCAAAGAGCACGAGAAGCCCGTGTGGACGAGGTCCAGCACAAATAGTAGTGGCCCCGGTTCTACCATGCCGTATACAAGCAGCGGCAGGTCGAGTCACATGAAGCCTTGAGGCAAAGATGGCAAGCCAGATGACGTGAAATCAGAGGCAGGCAGCAAGGAATCAAAACTGGCTCGGCTGAAGGCCAAGAAGCTTGACCCTGATCAAGTGGGAGACTGCAATGGCGGAGTGAGGTCTGAATGTAGGGAGTCCAACACCAACAGGGAAGAATCAGGGAGTGTTACTCCATAGGCAGGAAGCGTAGGTCCCAAGTGCGCAGAGCTTCGCAAGGAAGCCAACAGGTCCATGTGTACAAGATCTGGTACAGATGGCGAGGAGTCCAGACACGTCAGACCATACACAAAGGTGGTGGGCCCTGGACATGCAAAGCTTTGCAGGGAAAGGATTGGGCCGAAGCTGGAAGCATCAAGAACAAGCGATGGAGTGCCAAGCCGTACGCGCATGAAGGGTGGCAGAAACAGGCCAGGGCAGCAGTAGCTGCGCAACAGCAGAGATGGTCCCAGGTTTGCAGTATCTGATGCTAGCATTACACTGCCAAGGCAACTGGAGGACTGCAACAGCAGCAATGACCCCATGGTGGTGAAGTCCGCCACTGAAGGCAACGGTCCGAGCCTGACCCTGTCAGAGGCCAGTGTGATGGATCCAGCACGTGCGGGTGCCCGTGGCAACACCGATAAGCCTAAATGCAGGAAGTCTGAGACTGGCGCAGAAGAACCGCATCGGACTGAGTCAAAGACAAGCAGAGTGCTTTCAGGTCTTGCCATACTTCGCGACAGCAAACTTGGCCCAAGCCTGGCGTAGTTGAAGGTCAGCATGAAGGCTTCTAGGCGGGAGGAGCTTCGCAGCAACGGATTGGGTCCGGAGCAGACAAAGTCCGAGGCTAGCAAGGAGAGGTCCAGACGCGTACATCCCGTCGCCAGAAGAGTCAGCCCCATCCTGATCATGGCTCGCAGCGACACTAGAAAGTCGAATCGAGCAAAGTCTGATGCCAGAGGCGCTGCATCCAGACGCATGAGGGAGCGTGCAGGCAAGAACAAGCCAGACTGAGCAGGGTCAGGCACAGACATTGCGAAACCTGAGCATGCGGAGCTTTGAAGAGCCATTGGCAAACCCAGGTGCAGACAATCCAACACGGAGAGGGGAGCGCCAGACTGCGTGCCGCTGGATATCGACACGGACACACCACAGCAAGAGAACTGTTGAAGAGGCAATGATGAGCCTAGCTGCAAAAGGTCCAGGGCTGGAAAGGGCAAGCCCAACATGGATCTTCCAAATGCTAAGAGGGATGATTCCGGTCAACTGAAGCTGCGCATGAATGTCAATGGTCCAGTATGCAGAGAGTCTGGAGCTGGCGCTGGCGATTCAGACCAGCACATTCCAATCAAAGGCGTGGTTAGACCTGGGTGTGCATGCGACCTGAGTGACAGCAAGGCATCAGATCGCGCAAAATCAAGGGCTGGCAGGTTGAGACCAGGATGCAACCAACTCCTTGCCAAGGGAGAAAGTTCTGGCTGCACAAAGTCAAGCGCCAGCGGCAGGGACCCAGGCCTGGAGATTCCTGAAACCGGAAATGCGAGGTCTGCATGTGCATAAGAGCGCAGGAGCAGCGGCAAACCGGGTGTCACATAGTCAACCAGGAGCATGCTCAAGCCAAGGTGAGCTCTTCCGATCAAAGGCGGTGTGAGGCCTGAACAAGCAGATGCGCGAAGCAGTAGAGAAGCTCCAGTCTCAGCAAAGTCCAATGCCGGAGGAGGGCTGTCAAAACTTGCCCTGCTCGTTGCAGGTACAGAAAGACCAAGCCGACTGAAGGACCTCAAGAACAGGGTGAGATCTGAATGAAGAAGGTCCGGCACAAAAAGCGGAGCACCAAATCTCCCACTTCCATACACCGACAAAGTCGGCCCAGCTCGAGCGAGTCCGCGCATCGGTGGCGTCAGGCCCGGCCGAGCGAGATCCAGGACCAGCATGAACAGCTCTGAACAAGAAAGGCCTTGTGAAAAGAAGGACGATCCTGGAATGAACCAGTCCAACACTGGAGGTGGGGAATCGACCCGGACCCGTGACAAGGCCGACATGAGGGCACCGGTTCATGAAAAGCTGTGCAGCAGCAACGGGAGGTCAAGATGCAGGAGATCAAGCACAGGCAACACTGGTTCTGGATGCGAAAAGCTTTGGAGCAATACAAATGACTCCGTCAGTGCTGCATCTGGTGTCAAAAGCGGCAAATCAAGTCGAGCAGCTCCCAGCACAGCAGAAGACAGCTCAGATTGTACCATCTGTCGCGCGGGTGGGGATGAGCCTGCAGTTGCCATGTCTAACACCGGCAGCATGGAGCCTAGACAAGCAAGTCCCAAGGCCGAAGACGAGGCCGCTGGGTGAGCAAGCTGCCGGACTGAAGGGGAGGACTCGAGCATCACTTCGTCCAAGGCTGGAGGGCATGAGCCTGGCCGTACCAAACCCACAGCAGACAGCAGCAGACCTAAACAAACTGAGCTCCGAACTGGCAAGGTGGGATCTGAGGTCGCACGGTCCAGTGCCAGCAAGCTAGAGCCCGTGCAGGTCATGCCCGCCAATGACGAAGAGAACCCAAGCCGGCTCATTTGTTGCAGCAACGTGGAAAAACCCATCATGGCGGAGTCAAGTGCTGACAAAGAAGATCCAAGCCGGGTCACACCTGCGACCGGAAGCAAGAAGCCAACTTAAGCCCAGCTGTGCACAAACACCAAAAATCCCATGAAGGCAAAGTCAAGTACAAGTGGCCCCAGTTCAAGTTGGGCATGACCTCTGGCAGGAGTCGGGGACTCTAGCAAGGCAAAATCCGAGGCTAGAAGGAAAGACTCTACCCTCGATGTGCCCATCACAGACATAGCAGAGTCTGACATAGTATGTGACTGTAGGGAAGTAGATGCTCCTGGGTGGCCAAGGTCCGGAGTTGGAATGGCAAACTCTGAGCGCGTGAAGCTACGAACTGACACAAGCAAGTCCAACAACGCGGGATCCAGCATCAACATCAAGGCTCCAAGCCGGGATGTGCCAGATGCCGGCAATGGTAGCTCCAAACACCCAACACCACGAGGCAAAAAGAGAGCTCCTAGTTTGACGGAATCCAATGTAGACAAAAGCGGCTCTGACCACGCAAGGCTGCGCAGCGGCAAAGATAAGCCCAAGTTCAGAAAGTCTGGCACCAGCAGGGAAAGTCCAAGCCGCGCTCTGCCAACGGCAGACGTAGTTGAACCTTACCACGCATGTGTGTCTCTAGTACATGAAGGAAAAAACTCTAGGAACTTACGGCACACATCGCCTGGTAATGGCTCCTAAGTCTAGTGAAAACCCAACAGCAAGCTGAGAGGAACACTTCCAGCAGTTTTAAGTTTTCAGGGTAGAAATCCTGAACTCCAGTTGCGGGCTCCGTTTAAGGATCCACATAGAACTACTCGTGACATAAGAAAGAACTTTGTGACCTAAGACCTGCGCTCTTGTGATAGCTTTCCCCTTTAGCAGGGGGAATGTGACGAATGTACATGACACTGGCACCAGAAGCTGAATGTAGGAAACCGCAGGGGACTGTGGCGCAGCACGTTAGAACATAAAATGTAACAGGAATGAACCGCAAGCACCCTTTATCCAGACTTATTCAAAAACAAAAAAAACTACCAGCCTATTCTTCGCCAAGGAGCCGATGCGCGAAAGCGCCCTCAGAGGCAGGCTTGGCTCCAGGTTCAGGAGGTCCAGCACAAGCAAAGCAGAACCCATGCAGCAACAACTTTGTGTAAACACCGGCAAGCCAAAGTGAGCAAGGTCTGAAACCAACAAGGATGAGTCCAAGCGTGCTAGCCCAAGAACTGATGCAGTGGAGGCAGGTTGAGTATGTGACTGCAGTGACAACACCGGACCTACGAGCGCAGGGTCAGGTGCCGGCATGGGAAAGCCCAACCACGAACGGCTTCTGGTAAACGGCGACGAGCCAAGGGCCACAAGGTCCGAAGCAAGCATTGTTGAACCCAACCTGGACAAGCCGCAAGCCGACAGAATGGCCTCCAAGTGTCCGAAGCTTTGCGAAGTAGGAGGCAACCCCATGCGGGCAAAGTCCAAGACCAGCACGGCAGGCCCCAACTGCGCAGAGCTGCGCAAAGGCAGCGGCGAGCCCAAAGATACAGGGTCCAGGATGGACAGGCTCAGGTCAGGACGAGATGCGTCAATTGCGGGAAGTGAAGCTTCTAGCTGGCCAGCATGTTGCAAAGGCAGAGAAGAGTCAGGCACAACGAGGTCTGGAGCTGACGTTGAAACACCTGAACAAGAGAGTGAGCGTAGTGGTGATGAGCTACCGGGGGTGAGGAAGTCTAAGGCAGGCGATGGGAAGCCTGACCTTACGGTGTTGACCACAAAAAGAATAGGGCCAAGACATGCCATGCTTTGCGAAGGCAGAGAAGGTCCTGGGTGCAAGAAATCCGGGACCGCCAAAGAGACTTCAAATCTTGCCAGGGTCAGTGCGAGCAGCGCAGCATCAAGCCAGGCGGAAGATCTTAAGGACAGCGGAACTTCCGAATTGGCGAAGTCCAATGCCACTAAGGCAAGGCCCAGTCTTGCACATCTCAGGGCTGGTAGAAACAATCCAGGCCAAGAATGTCCTCGAGTAGATGCAACGGAGTCAAGGTGCAAGAAGTCTGGAACAAGCATGGAGAGCCCAGAGCGCGCCTTGCCAGGTGCCAAAGGCATTAAGCCTAAGCACGCCAGACTCCTCACCAACAAGAATGGGTCCATTCTTGCAAAATCAAACACAACAACAGGAGGGCCAATGCAGGAAAGGGATCGCAAAGACAGAAGGCTGCCCAACACCACGAAGTCAAGAATAAACAGCAGCAATCCAAACCTCACCCTGGATGAGGCTGGCAGCGGCGATCCACATCTGCCTAGGGAACGCATGGAGACTGACAGGCCAAGGTGCAGAAAGTCCACGGGAGACAGTGATGAGTCAGAGCGAGCGCAGCCCCAAAGAAGTGCTGCCAAGCCCGGTCGACCACAGCTTCTCAAGAACACCGTGGGCCCCATGTGCAGGAGATCCAGAGCTGACAGCGGTGCTCCTGAGGCGACGCGGCTGGAGGCCAATGGCAGAAAACCCGTTTGAGCAAGGCTTCGTGCCGACGTAGACGAGCCAATCGCAAGCAAGTCCGAAGTGGGCATTGCAGGTCCGGACCATGCGAGTGACCTCGCCAATGATGATGGTTCGGGCTGCGAGAAGTCCAGAACTGGAGGTAGAAGGCCCAGGTGCGTCCGGCTGAAAGCAGGCAGCATGCTGCCAGGCTTAGCAAAGGCCTGAACAGCAAGATTGAAGCCCATCCTCGCCCAGCCAAAGGGTGGGGATGTGGATCCAAGTCTTGCTGCGGCTCTCACAAAAGGCGTCGGTTCATAGCCTGCAAAATCAAAGGCAGTAGGCATCACACCTGGCCGAGAGGTCGAGAACGGTGCCAGCGAAGTGCCCGGGCAAGCCACACTCTTCAAAGAAGGCGGCGCACCCAGCAGTGAGCAGTCCAAGGCCAACAGCGGGAGGCCCAGTCGTGCGCAGCCGCGGAGCAGCATTGGCGGATCAAGGTGAGTCATGTCCAACACTGGTGGAGGAAGTCCTAGCCTCACGGAAGAAGAGACAAGCATCGACAGCCCTGGCCGCGCAGAGGACTGCAGCAAGAATGTGAATTCGAGGTGAGCAAGGTCAAACGTTGACGCGGTTGGTTCCGGTCGGGCTTCACCAAACAAAGAAGTTACCAACTCCGTCCTTGCAGCACTTTGCGCCAGCAGGCAGGCTTCTAATGCAGCAGTGTCCAGAGCAGATGATGTCAGGTCTAGGCGCGCAAGTCCAGACACTACCAAGGCAGAGCCGGGTTCTGAAAAGCTTCTTACGGACAGTACAGGGTCGGGGCTGGCCAGGTCTAGCGCAAGTGGCATGGATCCACAGCATGCTAAACCAAACACAAGCAAAGGTGTGCCAGACCAGGCTGATGAATGCAGGGACAGTAGAAAGCCAAGATGAAGAAAATCTAATGTTGGCATCAAAGCCTCCATCCTGCTGACGCTGAATGCAGTAAAAGGTGCACCCGACTGCGCACAAGACCGCAAGGGCAAAGCTGGTCCTGAGTGAGTGGAATCAAACACAAGCAAGAAACTGCCAGACCAGGCTTCACCAAACAAAGACAATGCGGAGTCAAAGTGACCATGGCTCCGAAGAAGCGTGGAAGCCTCCGAATGCAGGAAGTCAAAGATAGGCATACCATCCCCCTGCCGAACGCGAGCGCAGATGGAAGTCGAAGCTTCAAGGCGTGCTACACTCCGAGCCGACAACGATGCATCTGGAGTCGATAAGTCCAGGGCAGCAAGTGACATGTCAAGGCGTGCACTTCCCCATGTTGGCATACCAGACCCCAGAAGCCCAATGCTCTTGACAGGAAACAATGGTCCAGAGTGTGTAAGATCAAGGACTGACAGTAGCAGCTCAGGAGTCACCACACGGAAGGCCAGCATTGCAGGTTCAAGTTGTGTCATGCTCCTTGCTGGCAGGCCTGAACCAGGGTCCGCAGAGTCCAGGATGAATGGGGAGAGACCAGAACAAGCAAAGCCAAAGGGAGGCAGCATGCTGCCAGGCCTGGCGGGGCTTTGCACGGAGGTAGGTGAGTCTAGATCACCCATGTCGAACACCGATGATGTGAGCCCTGTCCGAGACATGCCGAATGCCAACAACACAAGTCCCGAAGTCGCGGGGCTTTGAGTAGGCATTGGCAGGCCATAACTCGAAAGATCAGACGCAGCCATAGGCACGTCAGCTCGACAAACACCAGTTACAAATGATGCTGGTTCCAGGTGCCCAAAGCTCCTTGAGAGCAACGAGGATCCCAGGTGTAGATAGTCGAGTGCAAACGCCAAGAAGCCAAAGCATGCCATGCCAAACACGGATGCAGCAAGGCCAAGCCGCCCCGTGGATCGCAAAAGCAGCATTGAGTCAAGATGAGCAACATCAAGGACTGGCGTAAGCAGGTCTGGGCGGACGCAGGTGAAGACCAGCATCGGCAAACCTAGTCTGCATGAAGCTTGCAGCAGCGTAGGTGGGCCCATCTTCGCCAAGTCCAGCACAGGGGGCGTGGATCCCAAGCTTGCGCTTCCATATACAAGAAAAGGTGACCCAACCCGAGAGAAGCTGCGCACAGCCATGGCAGGGCCAGTTTCCATAAAGTCAAGCAGAAGCAGGCTCAAGCCCATCATCGCTCTACCAAAGACCAAGGAAGAGACATCCATGCAAGCAGAAGATCGAGCTGACATCGCCACTTCAGGAAGTGAGTGGTCAAGAGCAGGCACAGCAAAACCCACACAAACAGCACCGAAGACTAGGAATAGAAAGCCCATACACGCGAATGACTGCAGGGGAAGCAGAGGGCCGAGGTTCAAGAAATCCAGAGCTGAAGCCGGCGACTCAGAGCGAAAGCTGCTGAAGATCAAGAGAGGCGGCCCTACACGTCCACATGAACGCAGTGATGAGGTGCTGCCGGATTCTGTGACATCCGAGGCCAGCAGCGGGAGGTCAATTCGGCAGCCAGCCATGAGGGTGGAGGCAAGGCCGAGACGGGCAAATGACTGCATCAGCAATGAAGGATCAATCTCCACGTGGTCGGAGGCAAGCGTAGAAGATCCCAACCGTGCGACGCTGAAAATCGACACTCCGGAGCCAAATCTGCCCATGCTTCGCAGTAGCAAGGAAAGGTCCAGGTGAAGGAGATCCGGGGCTGGCATGAAAACTTCTGGTTGAATCCTACTGGAAGCCAGAAGCACCAGGCCCGAGCAAGCTCTACCTTGCACAAGCAGCGTGAAACCAAGCTGCACGGTATCAGGCACCAACAAGGTCAGGTCAAGTCAAGCAAAAGCCCTCACAGGCAGCGCAGAGTCGAGATGGGTGCAAGCTGGAACCGGAAGTGACAGCTCTGATCGAGTTGCTGCGAAGGCAGGCGGTGTTGAGTCCAACTAGGAATATCCTCTTGACGACATCGGCAACCCAAGGCGGAAAGGGTCAAGCAAAAGCATTGCAAAGCCTGGCCTTGCCCAGCTTTGAATCAATAATGCTGATCCTGGGGTCGTGCAGTCTGGTACCAGTGCAAGTGGCCCGAATCTTGCACAGCCGAACAAAGGCATTGCAAGGTCAGCACATGCCATTCCGCGCAGTGGGGATGCCGACCCTGGTTCTGAAATATCCGACACAGAAATTGCAGGGCCCGGCGTGCATCTGCCAGAGACCAACGCCATCAAACCGAGACGAACATGTGAACGCATGGGCAAGGGAGACCCTGACTTAACAGAATCAAGCGCAAATGTGGAGGAGCCCAGTCTGACGGAGCTTCTTGCAAACATTGGACTTCCTGGAGTGGTGAAGTCTGAGACTAACAACGTGAGACCCAAGCAGCACACACCAAGCACAGGCACTGCAAGGCCCAAACGTCCAACACTTTGGGGTAAAGGCAAGGAGTCTGACTGCACAGAATCAAGGACCGGCGAGAGAAAGCCAAACCGGGCTGCACTGGAGATAAGTGCAGAGAAGTCGGATCAAACAGATCCTCGTGAGAACGTCATCGCATCCAGGTGGGCGAGGTCTGAAACGGGCGCAGAACTTCCAGGTCTTGCGAAGCTGTGCGGGGACGTGAAAGAACCAACTAATACCCAATCAAGCACAAACGATATCAGACCCGGCCGCGACTTACCCAAGGCAGGCAATGCTGAAGCAGGCCAAGTATGAGACCGCAGGGATGTAGAGGATCCTGGCTCCAGGAAGTCCGAAGTTGGCACTGCAAGGCCAGATTGGGCACGGCTCCGCAGGGACAAGGGAGGGTCAAGGTGCAACATATCACATGTTGATGGAATTGGATCCAGGCGAGCTGCACTCCACACCAAGGAGCCAGGTCCTAAGCACCCCATGCTTTGTAATGACAAAGGCACACCTGGGTTTGCACAATCCAGAAGAAATGGCCGGAGTCCAAGGCTCGACCGGCTGAACGCAAAAAGCACAGCACCTGGCCTGGCAGCACTTCGAGCGAACAGGGCTGGGCCTGTGTGGACGAAATCCAAGGCCGCTGGCGCTGAACCCAATCGGCTGCTGTCAGACACTGACAGGCACAGGCCTAGCCGGCCAAGCGAATGTGGCAAGGGGGAAGACTCCGGTCGAAGGAGATCCAGAGCTGCAACTGCTGAACCGAGCTTACCGAAGCTGCGAGCCAGCGATGACGGGCCCAGGTGGCCAGAGTCCGATGCTGCCAACAAGACTTCCAGCCGAACCGAGTTGAAAGGTAGAAAGGCCGGTTCAATGCAGGCAAGGCTCCGAAGCAAGGATGTCAATCCGAATCTTGAGAGTGCACGCGCTATAAACGGAAACCCAGGATGCAGGAAGTCCAGGACAGACATAGACAGGCCAAGGCGGCACATGCTTCGGACAAATGAAGACAAACCCATGTTCAAAAAGTCAAGGGTTGAGGCAGAGGCCTCTGTGCAAGCAAGGCTGCGAAGAGGCAAAGCTGCATCCGGATCCACGGAGTCCAAGACTAACAGCAACACATCAAAACCAACCCGGCTGAACACTGGGAAGCCAGAACCTGGTTGAGCAGAGGATTGCAGCAGCATCACAAACTCTGAGTGCAAAAAATCCGGCACCGATGCTAAAAGCCCAAAGCGCGCACAACTAGACACAGAGGTGGCAAAGCCAAGACGCACGCAACTTCTCTGCGGCAGCACCAAGCCTAGAGATGCGGAGTCAAGCGTAGGCAGCGTAAGACCGCAGCGAGCTGCACCGAAGGCCGGAGAGGCGGGTCCTGGCTGAGCGAGACTCCTGACCAGCAGCAAAGAACCCATCCGCAAGAAGTCTGAAACCGAAAGTGCTAGGCCAGGTTGCGCCATGCTTCGCACGAATAAAGCAAAGCCAGGTATCGTAAGGTCCAGCACTGGCATCGGCAGTCCAGGGCATTTTGCGCCAAAGGCCGAAAACAACGGTTCCATGCATGCACGTTCCTTCAGCAACGGAAGGGAGCCTGAATGTAAGAGGTCCAAGGCCAACAGAACAGACCCAAGCCTGCTGAAAGACTGCATCAGCAGTGGCAGGCCTGGATGCACTGAATCCAAAGCTATCAACAAGAGCCCTGGCCGTGCTAAGCCGGCGACAGACGGACTTGAGCCAAGACGACCACATGATCTTAATGGTAACATCAACTCAGTTTCTGCCAGATCCGGCACGCTCAATGTCAAACCCGAGCGGACAGGAGACATGGCAGGTGGTGCGGAGTCCAAATGACCCATAGCCTGCAACAATGACAACAAATCAGGGCGCAGAAGGTCAGGTGCAAGTAGAGGGGATCCGGAACGGCCACAACTGAAGGCAAATGATGCAGCACCCGGCCGGCAGCAGGCTCTCAGCAACAGCAGGCTGCCGAAGCTTGCACAGTCGGGCACTAGAGCAGATGCCCCACATCGCGCTAAGCTGAAGGCTGGCAAGATCGGGCCAAGATAGCCTATCGCTTGCAGCAACATTGTTGATCCAAGAGTCAGGTAGTCCAGTGAGGGAGCCAGCAGTCCAGAGCAGGCAATGCCAAAGGCAGGAGGCACGCTTCCCATGAAGGTTGCACTTTGCACTGGAGATGTCAACCCCAATGAAGTGAGGTCCAGAGCAGATGCTGACGATCCGTAACATGCTGCACCAGAAGTTGCTGTTGCTGAGTCCAATCTCGCGGAGCTGCGCAGGGAAGGTGGAGAGCCAAGATGCCCGACATCCAGCGCCAGCAGGAGCGGACCCAGGCGAGTTTGCCCAAAGGGCGGTGAAGGGAGGCCTAGCTATGCAGGTGATCGAAGCGACAGGAGCGGATCAGGTCCAGCAAGGTCCGGCATTGGCGCTGAGAAATCAGGACAGATCCCGCCAAAGATCGGGGCAGGGAGGCCAAGTCGTGCAAAGCTGTGAAGAAGCAGTGACAAGCCGCCGTGAACCAGGTCAAATGCAAGCGGCATGGACCCAAATCGGGCTAGCCCAAAGACTGGCGAAGCGAGGCCCAACCTTCCAAAACTCCTGGCCAAAAAGATTAGCTCGAAATGGCTGAAGTCAAGCAGGAGCAACAGAAAGCCGGCTCTGGAAGCACCGAAGATTAAAGTTGGGGGCTCTGAACATGAGAAGTCACGCAAAAACATGCTCGGCCCAATGTGTATACAGTCCAGGATAAGCGGTGACGGACCGAAGCTCGTCGCTGACATTACAAGAGGGGCAGAGCCTGGTCTTCCGAGGTCTTGCAGCAGCAAAAGAGGCCCCAGGACAGCATGGTCCAGAAGAAGCAGTGTAGAGCCTGGACGTGCAAGGGACTGCAATGACAACGCCAAGCCAGAGGTCACCATGTCCAGGACAAGAGGGAACAATCCAAAGTTGGTGCGACCGCAGGCCAACAAGGCGGAACCGGGTCATCCGAGGTTCTGGAATAACATTGGGGAACCTGCGTGCTCACAGTCAGACGACAGCATTGGGGCGTCCATGCGGGCTATGCCGGAAACCAATATCACACTGTCACATCGCATATGATTTCTCAAAGGCATGGGCAAACCTGACCTCAGATAGTCAAATGGCAGCGCGAGGGATCCAAATCTTGCGCAGCTGCATGGCAAGATAGCAACATCAACATGTGAAAAGCTTCTCAAAAACGGCAGCGCGCCAAGCCTCAGGTAGTCAGGCATTGGTATCAAGGGATCAAACCAGGCGGTGCCAGACACAGGAAGGAACGAGCCAGGAAAGGCAAAGCTTTGTGGCAGCAGCAACAAGTCACCACTTATGAAATCTAAGGCCAGCAGGCTTGCTCCAGGACACACCATCCCGTAGGTCAACAGAAACAGGCCCATCCTTGCGAAACCTTGCGCGGATGGCGGGGACCCAGACATTGAAGAGTCGGAGACCAGAGACGAGGAGTCACAGCAACCTAAGCCAAAGACAGACGGCACAGAATCTGGGTGCCCAAAGCTGCGCAGCGCCAATGCCGAGCCAGACTCCGCGACGCCCGACATAGAAAGCAGCGCGCCCAAGCAACCGATGCCAAACGCCGGCAGAGCTAGACCTACTTGTGCCATGCTGCGAACAAACAGGATGAGCTCCATGTGTGCAGGATCAGATGCCGAAGCCAGCAATCCATGACGTGCCAGTCCAAAAACTGACAAAGCAAACCCTGCCCAACCAAGGCTGCGCACAGGCATGGTGCTGCCAGAGTGACTAAGGTCCAGCACCAGAACCAACAAGTCAAATCTTAGAAGCCCGAAGGCTGACGTGAAGCTCTCAAGCCTAGCGGAAGCTCTGAGCAGCAGTAAGACATCTGTATGCATACTGTCCAGAACCAGCAAGGGGGAACCCAGTCTCAGCTCGCCGGACGGTGGCAAAAGGAAGCCTGAGGCAGCTTTGCCACGAACAAGTGGCAATGGCTCAGGACTTGCACAATCCGAGGCTAGCAGAGGTGGTTCGGAGCGGGCCATGCCAAACGTTAGCATCAAAACCTCCAGTCTTGCAAATGCCTGTAACAAGGGTGGTGAGCCAAAGAGTTCTCTGTCAAGCGGCAACAGGAAGAAACCGAATCAAGCCATTCCAAAGGCCAGAATTGATGGCCCACCCCGCATGAGGCACTGAAGCGACTGAGTTGGTGCCAAGTGCAAGAAGTCCAAGGCCAACATCAGCGGGTCAGAACGTGCTTTACCAAACACCATCAGGAAGAAGTCAAGGCAAGCGGAGCTTCTGGGTAGCATGAAGAGTCCCAGCCGCAAGTGATCAAACGCTGGAATGGGCAGATCGAAGCAGCCTGCACCAGAAGCTGAGGCGGCGGCTTCCAAGCAAGCAAGTGATCTCGTGGACAACGCACTTTCCAAGTCTGAAGGATCCAGCGTGAACAGCAAAAAGCCAGAGCATCCCACACCGCTCACTGAAAGCGAGAAGCTTGGCCACCCGAGACTTTGCATGGACAAGGATGAGCCCATGGCCGTATTGTCTGAGACAGGTGGCGACAAACCAGAGCAGGCCATTCCGAACGCCGAAAGAGCTGAGCCGTAGCAGGCCGTATTCCTGGCAAGCAAAGCTAGCCCCAGGGTTGAGAAGTCGAGGGCTGGGATTGAGAGACCCAACCGCACAATGCCATATGCCAATACCACAAACCCGAGTCAAGAAGGTGTCTTCGGAGACAGCAGGCTGCCTGAGTGAATGAAGTCTGAAGTGGAAAGAGGTGCTCCAAGACACGCCAGTCCATATGCCAGCAGCAGCAGGTCTGGCTGCGCAAAATGACGCAGGGACATGGGGAGCTCTAGGTGGGCAGGGTCAGGCGCTGACAAAGGTAGCCCAAGTCGTGCCACGCCATAAACAGATGTGAACAAGTCGATTCTACAGGGCATCTTCGGGGGCATGCTTAAATCAGAGTGCGTAAGGTCTAGCACTGATGGTAAGAATCCCAGTCTGGTCATACCAAAGGCAGATGACACCGCTCCTGGCTGTCCGAACGTGCGAGTGGACAGCAAAAAGCCAGCATGTATAAAATCAAGGACAAGCAGCAATAGGTCTGGCCAAGCCAGTCCATATGCTGGCATAAAAAAGCCGAATTGAGCGAGAGTTCTCAGCAACAGAAACGACTCCAAATGCACAAAATCTGAGGCCGGCATGGAAGCATCCGATCTGTTCAAGCCAGATGCAAGCGTAGACAGGCCACAGCAAACGAAGCTGTGCACGGATAGGGAGCTGTCCATTTGCACAAGATCAAGAGCGGAAGGAGGTAAGTCCAAACAGCTGATGCCGTACATTGGAGCCGTAAATCCCAGACAACAGAAAGTGTGGGGCAACAAAAACAAACCAAAAGTTGCAAAATCCAGCGTGAATGAAGGCACGTCAGGTCGCACCAAGCCGTAGGCAGGGAGTGTCAGTCCAGGCTGTGCGGAGGTTCGGGGTGGCAAGGACAGCTCAGCGTTCACAGAGTCTGGGACTGGTGGCAAGCTTCCGGTTTGAGCCAAGCCAAAGGCCAACGACACCACACCAAGACGCATGAAGGATCGTAAGAACATTGGCAAACCCACTGTCATGGAATCCAGCAAAAGAACCGGCAGCTCTAGCCAAGACAAGCCATATACAGAGATGGATACACCGCAACGAGCGGTGGACTGTAGAGACAGCACGCTTCCTGTGTTGACAAAGTCCAAGACCAGCGGCAGGAAGCCTGGTTGCGACAGTCCATATGCCAGCGGGGATACGCCCAGTTGGACCAGGGACTGTGTTGACGGTACCTTGGTCATACAAGATGGATTCTACACGGCCTAAACATGGCATGGCTCTGTTTGATCAGACATGTCATGACCCAACTATGACCCAACTATGACGTAGCAGTTGTCAGTGGCTAAGACCTACTGCTGCTGAACTTTCAAGAAACATGACAAGGCTCATCCATACAAACTCGCTAATTCAAAAAAGCAGCCTCCAATGCAGCCAAGTAGCAAAACCAAGATGCACAAGGTCAAGGACCAACAGTGACACGTCCAGACATGACAGGCCATAGGCCAACAGGGGCGGGCCCATCCAGAAGAGGCTTTGTGGCAACATAGGCGGCTCTGGGCTAGCACAATCTGACACCAACAGGCTCAGCTCCAACCTCGCCAAGCCGAAGGTTGACGGAGTGGAGTCAGTTTGCATGAGCGACTGCAAAGGTGGAGGCGGACCAGAAATGGCCATGTCAAGCACCGGCAACGGAAGCTCTGGGCGAGACAGGCCATATGCCAGCAATGTCGGCTCAGGGCATGCAAGGCCACGGAGCAAAGGCAAAGCACCCACATTTGACATGTCCAAAGCGGATGAAAAGGTTTCTGGCCAGGACAGGCCATAGACCAGCGTGCTGGAGCCGATGCAAACGAGAGACCGCGCCGACATTGGGAGGCCAGAATGCACATGATCCGACACAGAGAGGCTGAAGCCGAGTCGGACTAAGCCGTAGGCAGGTGAAACTGAACCAAACCGCATGAAGGATTGCAGCGACATGGGAGGGCCGGTGGCCACGGAGTCCGGCACCAGCAGCGTGAAGCCGAGAGTGGACAGGCCGAAGGCAAGCATCACAACGCCCAGTTGCACAAGGCTACGAGCAGGCAGCATAAGACCGCAGTGTGCAAGGTCTGACAAGAGCAGTGAGAAGTCCAATCGAACCAAGCCATAGGTCAGCAGTATCAGTCCCAAACAAGCAAGAGATTGCGAGGACAGTAGTAAGTCGGTGTTGACAGAATCCAGGACCGACGGCATGCTGCCAGGGCAACTTGCGCCGTATGTTACCAGCAAAGGCCCTGGCTGAAGGAGGGTTTGCAGCGGCAGGGCCAAGCCAAGGTTCACGAAGTCGGGAACGAAAGGTGAGGGCTCAAGGCACATCAATCCATAGACCAGGAGGCTAGGTTCAAGTCGAGCATACCCACGAAGCGAGGCTGCACTGTCGAGATGGCCGTGATCTGGCAAAAGCGAGATGGGGCCCAAGCGAGATATACCATATGCCGAAAGCGCAGACCCAAAGCGTGCCATTGACCTTGGCAGCAGTGACAGCTCTGGATGGACAAGATCAAGCACAAACAGCAAAACGCCAAGTCTGACTAGACCGTATGCCAACGGCAGCAAGCCCGCCCTCGAGAAGCTTTGTGGGAAGGATGGAGAGCCGGAGTGGCAGGGGTCCGGTGCAGGTGGCAAACTTCCTGACCTCGTGATGCCAAAGACTGAAGGCATCGGTCCAATGCAAGCATGAGTTTGAAGTGAGGGTGGGAGCCCTGCCTGCGCATAGTCTGGAATGAACGGCAAGGGACCCAGCCATGTGCATCCATATGCTAGAAGTGCAGGCCCAAGACACATAGAGCTCCGCAACGGCATCAAGCTTACCAAACAGACAAGATCCAGCACAGACAGGCTTGAGCCCAATCGAGCAACGCCGAAGACTGGCACGGTTAGGCCCAGGCAGGCAAGCGTTTGGATCAGAAGCAACAAGTCGGGATGTGCAAAATCAAGTAAAGGCAGGAGCAGCTCAAGCCGGATCATGCCGTAAACAAACGAGGCCGGACCCGAGCATACAGATCCTCGAGTGGACGGCAAAAGGCCCAGGTGTCCAGAGTCCAGAAGCAGCAGAAGCGGCCCTGAGCGACTGAGGCCGTAAACCAACGAGAAGCTTTCCGTGCAGAGGAGGCTCCGGAGCGACAAAATGAGTCCTGAGCTCACAAAGTCAGCAACTAGAGGGGAAAAACCGAGGCAACTTACCCCGTAAACAAGCAGAGAGGGCTCTGACTGCATGGAGCCTCGGATCAGCATCGAAAACCCTAGATGAGCGAGGTCCAAAGGTGGCAGAGGCAGGCCAGGTCTCGACAACCCATAAGTCAGCAGCAAAACCTCGAGTTGAACAAAGCTTCGTGAAGAAAGCGGCAGGCCAACATTCACAAAGTCAAGAGCCGACGGAAGGGGTCCGGGATGGGCCAGGCCAGAGGCAAAGGCTGGGCTGCCAGTGCAAATAAAGCTGCGCAAAAACAAAAGCAAGCCACAGTGGATAGGGTCTGGCACCGAAAGTGGCAGCTCTGATCGAGTTAGTCCATATGCAGCTACTAAGGACTCAGAGTGGCAGAATGATCTCAGCAACAGCAGCGAGCCAAGGCTCACAAGGTCCGAAGTCAGTAAAGGCAAGTCCAGCCAACTCATACCAAATGTCAGCAGAGGCATACCCAAGTGAACGGAACCTCTGATTGGCAAAGGGGCATCCGTCGAAGCGGGGTCAAGGGCTGGCAGAGAGAGGCCGGCACATGCCAGGCCATATGTCGGCAGCAGCAAGCCAAGCCTCAAAAATGTTTGGAGAGACGAGGCAGGCTCTGCTTGGACGAGGTCCAGTACCAACAAGAACAGCTCAGGCTTTGCCAGGCCAAAGGCTGGCAGTGGCGAGCCTGTGCAAACGAGACTCCGCGTCGGGAGTGGGGAGCCCAGCGTGCTGCGATCGAGGACCAGTAAGGATGGCCCAGGCCGGCTAATGCCATAAGGAAGCAATGAGGGCCCTGGACACAAATATCCTCGCAAGGACAAGAAGCTGCCCGCGCATGCCATGTCCAACACAGGTGATAGCAGGCCGATGCAAGTAATGCCATAGGCGAACAGTGGCACCTCAAAACGAGTGTGGCCTCTGGTTGGAGGCAACAGGCCAGGATGAACAGGATCAAGCACCAACGAAAAAAAGCCTGGGTTGGACAAACCATAAGTCGGCAGCATCAAGCCCGGACAGATGAAAGACTGCAGAGATAAGCTTGGGCCTGATGCAGCCATATCAGGGAGGGGCGTGGAAGGTTCTGGCCATGTCAGGCCATAGACCAGCATGGGAAACCCTGATCGAATGAGTGATTGAAGTGGCAAAAAGGAACCCATGCAGGCAAGGTCCAAGGCCAACAGTGATGGTTCCATCGCAGTCATCCCATAAACAGACATCAATGACCCGGACCTTGCAAGGGCTCGCAGAAACGATACGAAGCCCGAGTGCAGGGAGTCTAGAGCAAGCGTCAAGAATCCTGAGCGGTTTAGGCCATATAGAAATGAACTCAACCCCAGCCATACAGAAGTTTGCAAGAGCAAGGAGAAGCCAAGGTGAGCACAGTCCAGGATGGAAGGCAGTGAATCTGGGCGCACCATGCCGGACAAAGGCAGTAGGAGCTCGGCTTGCACGAAGCTTCGAGGAAATAGCAGAGAGTCCAAATGCAGAAGGTCTGGCAACGGCATAAGGAGTCCCAGGCATGTCATGCCAAAGACAAGCGGCAGAAAGCCCGTGCGCACGGATCCTTGCAAAGGTGGCAGAAATCCTGAACTAACGGAGTCGAGAAGCAGCAAGGGCGATTCGGTCCGAGTCAGGCCGTACGCCAGAATCATGAAGCCTGGTTGCACATGTGATTGTGCTGGTAGCGGGCTGCCGAAATTGCAAAGGTCTAGTACAGCTGACAACAAACCCGAGCGTGACATACCGGAAACTGATGGCGTAGGGCCGAGCTGGCAAGGAGATTGCAGAAACAGCAAGGGCTCCATATGAACGCAGTCCAGTGCAAATGAACTCAGGCCTGATTGTGACATGCCAGAGGCCAAAGGGGAGACGCCCAGTTGCACGAGACTTCTGGTCAACAGGCTGGAGTCGAGGCACGCAAAGTCCGACACAGGCAGCAGCAGCTCTGATTTGCTCAGACCATAGGCTGGTGACATGAAGTCAACTCAAATGTGACCTTGCATCAACAAGCTCGGTTCAAGGTTCACAGAATCAGGTGTCAGTAGGATCAGACCTGAGCACGTCATGCCAAACACTGGCGATGTCAGACCTGTTCGCAAGTGTGACTGCAGAAGCAGCATGAAGCCTAAGCTTGCGTAGTCCAACGCAGAAAGAATCAAGCCTAATCAAGTGATGCCGTACACAAGCAGCAAGGGCTCTGTTTGACAGGAGCTTTGCAGTGGCAAAGCCGGGCCCAAGTGCACAAGATCCATAGCAAGCAGTGAAGGCTCTGAGCGTGTCATGCCCCACGCTGACAGCAGGGGCCCCAGTCTCGTGGGGCTGCGCAAAGGCAGGGCCAGCCCGAGCTGTATGAAGTCTAGGGCAAAAGTGGACAAGCCCAGTGTGCTCACACCATAGACGAACGCAAAGAAGCCCAGTTGGCAGGAACTGCGTGGCAAAATCGCCGAACCAAGCTGAATATGATCAGGTGTCGGCGATAGCAGACCCAGTCGCACGATGCCATAGACAAACAGTGAAAAGCCCAGCCGCATGCGAGATTGAAGCGGCAAGGACAACCCCATATGGACGTAGTCAAGGATGGGGAGCAAGAAATCTGAACGAGTCATTCCAAAAGGCAGCAAGAAAACCTCCAATCTCGCAAAGCCTTGGGTTGACAACAGCAACCCAAGGTGAATGGAGTCCAGGACCAGCAAGAATAGTTCCGAACATGCCAGACCGTAGGTAAACAGCACAGGCCCTAGGCGGAAAGAGCCATGCAACGACATACTACTTTCTGAGTGGATGTGGTCAAGCGCCGGAAACAAAGGGCCTGGACGTGACAATCCATATGCTGGTGGAACCAAGCCAAGATGGAAGGATGCTCGGAGCAATGACGACAGGTCAAGCCCGACAAGATCCAGCACAAGCGAGGTTGAGTCCAAGCAAGTCAGACCGTAAACAAGCATCAAGAAGTCCAGCTGGCTGTAGCTTTGGAGTGGCAGGGGTAGCTCTGTTTTGATGGAATCCGGCACAGAAGGAGCAGAGCCTGGCCAGAACATGCCGTATGCAGGCAGTAGAAAGTCCATGCAGCTGAAGGTTCGCAAGGGCGACGATAAGTCAATTGCGATCATGTCCGGGACAGGCAAGGAGGATCCCAACCTAGCCAGCCCGAATGCAAGAAGGGAGGAACCCGGGCGCACGAGCATTTGTGCTGAGAGAGGCAATCCAGCCTGAGCAGGGTCCAGTGCCAACAATAGGGACTCGATTCAAGTCATGCCGTAGGTCAGTAGAGGCACTCCCATACGGGCATGGCCACGGAGCAGCAGGATTGACCCAGCAGTGATGAAGTCAGGGAGCGGCAGGAAGCTTCCCAAGCGCGTGACTCCGTAGATCGAAGGGAGAGATCCCAGGCAGCTAAGGCCATGCGCCAGAAGCAAGAGTCCCACACTAATGTGATCCAGGACTGGGGAGGACGGCTCTGACCGCGCCATGCCATAGGCAGAAGCTGCAGGTTCAGGGCAGCTAGGTGTATGAAGCAGCAGGGAAAGGCCTGAGTGTACAAGGTCAAGCACTACCAGCAAGAAGCCGACCCTCATGATTCCATAAACCAGCAATGGCAGGTCTGGTTAAGTAAAACCCTGAGGGAATGGCGGAAAGTCCAAGTTCGAGGGGTCTGGCACAGGCGAGACTGAGCCAAGGCAAGACATGCCATACGCAAACGGCGCAAGGCCAGTGCAAGCAGGAGTCTTCAGTAGAAGCGCTGGCCCCAAATGAACAAAGTCCAAAGTTGGCATCGGAAAGTCGCAGCGTGCCACACCGTAGGCCAATGACAAGGATCCAGTTTGCAGAGAGCTCCGCAGGGGCATGGCCAGCCCTGAGTGGATGTGGTCAAGCACAAGCAGTGGCAGACCCGAACACGCGAGTCCATAGGCCAACAAAATGGATCCAGCATGCAAGTAGCTGCGAGGAGAAAGTGATAGGCCCGTCTGCGTAGAATCCAGGACTAGCAAACTGAGCCCCGGCCAGGTGATTCCAGATGCAAGCATCACGAATCCCAAGCAAATGTGACCGTGCGGCAGCAGAGGGAGGTCTGAATGAATGGGGTCCAGCATCAGCGAAGAGAGGCCTAAACGCGTCATGCCATAGGCAAGCATGATGGGTCCCAAGCAGGCGTGTCCACGCAAGGATGGCATGAAGCCCAAGCTCGCATGGTCAAGTGCAGGCAGGCTAAAGCCAAGGCAAAGCATGCCGTAGGCAGACGGGGCCAAGCCGATTTGCACAGATGTCCGGATAAGCAGAGCAGAATCTAGATGACCAAAGTCCAGTAGCAGAAGCAAAAACCCAAGCCTCATCAGGCCAGAGGCGGGGATAGGCAAGCCCACTCGCGCGAAGGATCTCAGGGACAAGATGAAATCCATCTGAAGGAGGTCTAGCATGGGGAGCAACAGGCCCAGCTTGCATAAGCCATAGGCAAACGAGGACACATCCAATTGAACAATCGTTTGAATCAACAGCGCGCTTCCAAAGTTGGTGTGATCAAGTGCAGGAGACGTACTGCCCAAGCAAGCCAGCCCGGAAACAGGCGATGATGGCCCAATTCACGCAGAGCTTTGGGGCGGCGTTAAAAAGTCCGAGTGCACAAAATCCAGTGCCAACAGAAGAAAGCCTGGCCAGGACATACCATAAACTAGCAAGCTCAACCCGAGCCAGACAAGAGATTGCAATGACAGCAGGCTCCCAATGGTTGTGAAACCTAAAGTTGAAGTACTCGGGCCAAGCCGTGACAAGCCAAAGGCTGAGATTGTGAGCTCGAGCCTCACAAGGCCTTGCGGCAACATGAAAGGCCCGACGCTAATGAGATCCGGGACCGACAACAGCGGCCCTGACCGAGCCACCCCGGAGGCAGACAGAAACGGATCAGGCCATGCAAAGCTACGTGGGGATGGGGATGACTCCAGTAGAACAAGGTCGGGCGCTGATGGCAGCAAGCCTGAGCGCGACAGTCCATATGCAGAAGGAACTGGGCCCATTCACATGAAGCTCTTCGAAGACGTTGTGCTCCCGAACGTTGAAAAGTCCAAGACCGATAGTGAAAACCCAGGGGTGCTCATGCCATAAACCGAAATCAGGAAGCCAGGCTGGCTATGGCCTTGCAGAAGCAACAAGCTGCCGACACACAAATGGTCCGGGATCGATAGCAGAAGTCCCACTCTCATGAAGCCATAGGGCAAGGCCGGCGGCCCAAACCGTGCGAAATGCTGGAGCAACAAGCTGAAGCCTGGGTGCACAGAGTCGAGCGCTAGCAGTGAAAGTCCCATCCAAACCATTCCATAGACGGGTACCACCGGATCAGGCCAGATGAAAGATCGGGGCAGCAAGGGCAAACCGAGGTGACACATGTCCAAAATGAACAGCAACAGGCCAAGGCAAGTCATGCCATACACTGGCATTACCGAGCCAATCTTTGCAAGGCCTCTTGGCGGCAAGGGCAAGCCAGGGTGGATGAAGTCAGGGACTAGGAGAGGCGAACCCAATCGCGCTAGGCCTGCTACAGGCAAGAGAAAGCCTGGCTGTGCAGAAGCTCTTGGCAACAGCACGGGTTCTAGATGGATGAAGTCCAGGACAAGGAGTGAAGCATCAGGCCAGGCCATGCCAAAAACAAACATTAACGGGCCGGTTTGGAGCATGGATCTTGAAGGCACGAACAGCCCCAAGTGCAGGAGGTCAAGAGTTGGCATTGGAGGCTCTGGCCACGTCATGCCAGAGACCAGCAGCGATAGGTCAAATCGGCAGAGGCCTCGCAAGGGCAGTGCACTGTCCAGCCGAACAGGATCGGGCACAGAGGGTGGCAGGTCCGGGCAGGACATTCCGTACGCTGGAAATGAGAGCCCTGCTCAAAAATGGCTTTGCGGGAATGTAGAGCTGCCAAACATGCCGGAGTCCAACACGAACAGCAGTAGTCCCAGCCACGCCATGCCAGAGATTGGCGGTGAGAAGCCCGGACAAGCAGGATAGTGCAACGGTAGCGGGAAACCAGGATGCACGCAGTCTAAGGCAAGCATGAGAGGGCCTGTACGGGACATGCCATAGGCTGGCAACAGCAACCCTGGACAAACAAGGCCACGCAGTAGCAAGCTGCTTCCTGAGTGGACAAAGTCCAAGACCGATGGGGAAAAGTCGAGCTGGGTCATGCCGTAGACCAGTGTAAGCGGCCCCATTCTCACGAAAGATTGCACCGACAGGAAAGGCTCCATGTTCGCAGGGTCCAGCACGAGCAATAGGGGGTCTGGCCGAGTAAGCCCATAGACAAGCAACGCAGAGTCAATCCTAGCAAATGTCCGAGTAGACAGAAATGACTCGATGCGCACAGGGTCCAGTGCAAGCAACAACGGGTCTGATCGCACCATGCCATAGACTGGCATAGTGAGCCCTGATCAAATGAAGGCCTGGAGCAGCAGTGGCAAGTCAAGAGCAACAGAATCAGGTGTTGGCATCAACAAGTCTGGGGCTGACATACCGTAGGTGAACATCGACGGATCCAGCTGAGCAGAGGTTTGTGAAAGCGACAACGGTCCGGTAGTCACATAGTCCGAGACCAGCATAAGGAAATCTGACCGAGCCATGCCATAGGCTGACAAGAAAGAGCCAGGGCAGCCAAGTCCTTGCAAGGATGAAAGCAGGCCAAGATGCACATGGTCGAGAACCAGCAATAAAGCTCCGAGGCAGACCATGCCATAGATAAACAGCGGCAGTTCGGTGCAAGCAAAGCTCTTGAGTAGCAGCAATGAGTCGATGGAGACAGGGTCAGGAACGAAGAGTGAAGCCTCCAGCCATGCCAATCCAAAGATTGAAAACGGGCTGCCAAGGCAGGCGAGGCCTCGTGGCAACGTTGGCAGCTCAGTTTGGATAGAGTCAAGCACGAGTGGTGACAGGCCCGTCCAAGACAAGCCGAACAAGGACAGACTTGGGCCGATCTTCACGGAACCATGCAAAGGCACGGAAGGTGCCATGTGAGCGAAATCCGAAGCTGATGGCAACAGCCCAGTCCTGGTCATGCCATAGGCAAGGATCGTGAAGCCAACTTGCATGTGGTTCCGCAAGGGCAAAGGCAAGCCGAAATGAGCGAGGTCTAAGGCTGGAAGCAGAAATTCGAGGCACACCATCCCAAAGGCTAGCAACACTGAACCCAACCGTGCATGATTGCGCAAGGATGGCGAAGGCTCTGAGTGCAGAAGGTCAATGATTGACAGCAGCACACCGAGGCAGGTCAGGCCATAAGCAAACGCTGGCAAACCAAAGCAGATGAATGCCTGCAGTGGCACTGAAGGGTCAGACTCCATGAAGTCAAGAGCGAACATTGAGAGTCCAAGGCAGCTTGCTCCGTATGCAGCCGGGAGTGATTCCAAACAGGCAAAGCTACGCAACGGCGTGGCGGAGTCGGAACTGCAAGAATCCAGCAAGAACGTGAGCGAGCCGAGGCGCACGCAGCCGTAAAGCAACGGCAATGATCCCGTTTGCGCATAGCTGTGCAGAAGCAACGGCAGCCCGGGGTGAACAGGGTCCAGTGAGGGCATGGACAAGTCCAACCAAACCAGTCCATATGCAAGCATTGGAGCACCGGTCCTTGTGAAGCTGCGAACTAGCAAGCCGGATCCTGAGTGCACGGAATCCAACAACAGCATCATCAGGCCTGATCGGACCATGCCATAGACCAGCGACGCCAACCCCACTTGAGCATGCATACGCAGAAATGGCGACGATCCTGCTGTGATGTAATCAGGAACCAACAGGATGGGGCCGAGCCTCTGCATGCCGTAGGCAGACATGACCGAGCCAGTGCAAACGGAACTCCTCGGAAGCAAGGGGGATCCCAGGTGAAGAAAGTCTGAGGTTGACATCAAAAACTCCAGTCGGTTGAAGCCATATGTTGGCATCAAAAAACCGAGCCGGCAGTAGCCCTGCAGTGGAAGCAGCGGCCCAGCAAACACAAAGTCCAGAGCAGGCATCAAAAATCCAAGGCATGCCATGCCATAGGGCAACAGCAGCAGCTCAGTGCAAGAAGGGCTCCGTGGCGAAGGCAGGAAACCAAACTGGACAGGGTCAGGAACAGAAAGGGGCAATCCCAGTGTGGATATGCCAGAGGCTGCTAGACTCAACTCCATTCAGGCATGGCTGCGCAGGAACATCATGAAGTCCAGGTGGACGAAATCAAGAGCAGGCAGAAGAAGTTCTAAGCGCGTGAGGCCGTAGGCAGACGGTGTGAGATCAAGATGCACAAGGCTTTGCAAAGGCAAAGAGCTTCCTGGCTGCACGAAATCAAGTGTTAAGATAGGGAGCTCCGAACATGCCAAGCCAAAGGTAAAAAGGGGAAAGCCTAGTCAAACAGGAGATCGCAGCGGAATCATGCTGTCAGTACTCGCGCGGTCAAGCAACAACACCAAAAGTCCAAGCCATGTAACCCCATAAATTGGTGGAGCGAATTCTGGGTGGGAATGAGATCGCAAGGACATGCTGGAGCCGAAGTGGGAAGAGTCAAGAGCAAACGTGAAAAGGCCTAAGCGGGTCATGCCATAAGGTAAAACGGCTAAGCCCAATCGAGAGTGAGCCCTGGTGGACGACGGCGCATCCAGATGAGCAAGGTCGGGGGCAAGCAAAGGAGCTCCAGGTCGCAGCAACCCATAAACAGACAAGGTCGGGTCTGTTCGCACAAGGCCTCTTGGTAGCAAAGAGAAGCCCAAACCCACAGAATCCAGGGCGGAAAGCGACAGACCCAACTTTGTCATCCCAAATGCCGGTGTAGTGAGATCAGGTTAGAGGAAGCTCCGTGGCAGAACTGCTGGTCCTGCGCTGACGAAGTCCAGCACCAGCAGAGGTGGACCCGGCTTCGCGATGCCGTAGAGGAACAGCAAAGGCTCCAGCCAGATAAGTGACCGCAACAGCAGCAGGGATCCAAGTGTGATGATGTCAAGTGCCAGCACCAACAGTCCTGGCCTTGAGATGCCCCAAAGCAGCATCAGAGAGCCGGATCACACAAAGCCTTGTAGCAGCAGACTTGGGCCCAGGGAGACTAGGTCTGGCACTAGCAGGGACAAGCCAGGCATGCTCACACCCCACACTAACGCAACCGGTCCGAAACAAACAAAAGACTGCAGCGGAATTGAGGATCCTGGCACTGCATGATCCAATGTTGGAGTTGGAAAGTCAAGCTTGGACAGGCCATACACTGACATGAGAAACCCAAGACGCGCAAGGCTTCGGAGCAGCGTCGGGCTTCCTAGGTGTGCAAAATCCAAGGCGGAAAGCAGCGGTCCTGACCAGCTCAAGCCGTAAGCGGATGCCGCAGGACCCGTTCAAAGGAAGCTTTGGAGAGACGTCGAGGAGCCCAGGTGCAAAAAATCAGGTGCAGGTGGGGATTTCCCAAGTCGAGTCTTCGAGAAAACAAGCAGTGAGAGCCCTGAACGGGCGAGGCTCAGAATTGACAGAGCTGGGCCAGTGTTCACAAGGTCTGACACGAGAAGCATAAGGTCTGAGCGCACAAGCCCGTAGGCTGGCAATAGAGAGTCTGGGCGCAAGAAGCTGCGCAGCAGCGTCATTGAGCCCATTTGTACATAGTCCAGCGCAAGTAGACTAAAACCCATTCGGGTCATCCCGTACACCAGCAAGAAGGGTCCCGGGTGCACAGAACTGCTTGGAGAGAAAGCAGGCCCTGAGTCCATGAAGTCTAAAGCGGGCAGGCTGAAACCTAGGCAAACCAAACCGTAGACAGGAAGCACAAGGCCCAAATGTGAGAGCGTCTTGGGCGGCAGCGGCAAGTCCAAGTGCACAAGGTCGGCAGCTGGCATTAGCAATTCCAGGCGAACCATGCCATACACCAGAGTCGGGAGGCCCAGACGGACAAGCGATTGCAGAGGCATCGAGAAATCTGAGGATAGAAAGTCAAGCAGAGAAAGGAAGGATTCAGGCCGCGTCAGCCCATACAAGGGCGTTGCCGGGTCCAGCTGAATAGCACTATGAAGCAACGGCAAACTTCCTGTGTGTGCAAAATCCAGAGTCGGCAACAGAGGCCCTGGCCAGGACATGCCATATGCAGATGACAGGAATCCCAATTTGGCGAGGCCTCGAAGAAGCAGCAACAAACCCGGATGGATAGAGTCCAGGGCCAGCAACATCGAGCCCAAGCGGGCAATCCCGAAGACAGGCATGGAAAGGCCAAGTCGCAAGAATCCTCGCAAGGGCGGCGCGAACCCGAACTGCAGGAAATCCAGAGCGAGCAATGCTGGGCCGGGATTGCAAACTCCATAGGCTGAGGGCAAAGGATCAAAGCAGGCAAGACCTTGCAATGAAAAGCTCAAGTCCATGTGCACGAAGTCCAGAGCCGACATGCCCCAGCCCGAGCAGTTCATGCCAGACGCGGACAACGGCAAGCCAAGGCACACGAAGCTCCTTACCGACGTCATGGACTCGGGATTTACGGGATCCAGAGCAGGCATGCTGGGCTCTAAGGTAGCGACTCCATAGGGAGACGTGGTGAAGTCCAGGCGGCAGTGAGCTTGCAGCGATGGGAATGGCTCTAAGTGCAAGAGATCCGGAGCAAACATTAAGGAGCCCAGTCGAGATAGACCGTAGGCGGGCAGGGCAAGTTCCGGCCAAATGGGACTGCGCATAAACAAGAACAGGCCCGGATGAACAAAATCCAAAACTAGGGGGGCCAGGCCTAGATTCACCAAGCCATAGACAGGAAGGCTAAAGCCCAAGCAAGCAAGCGACTGCAGTGGCAGCGAGCTTGCCCCCACGAAGCAGTCCTTGGCAAACAGGTTCAGGCCCAGGCGGCTGATACCCCACACAAGTGATGGAGGCCCCAAGCAGATGTGACTGTGCAGCGACAGCAGCAGATCTGGGCTGAGGTGGTCCAGAACCGGAAGGAAGCTCTCCAGACCCACCAAGCCATAAGCAGGTAGAGAAAACCCCATTCAGGCAGATCCTTTGATCAGCGATAAGCTTTCCGGATTGATGAAATCAAGGGCAAGTAGCAGCAGGTCGAGCTTAACCAGGCCGTATGTGGGCATGCTAAAGCCCAAGCGCAGAAAAGAGCGTGGCAGTAAGGAAGAGTCGATATGCCCAAAGTCAAGTGACAATGGAGGAAAGTCCAACTTCGTTAGTCCAAAGGCCAGAGTCAACAGATCCGTGCACGCGTAGCTGCGAAGAGGCAGTGAAAGGCCAATGTGGGTATAGTCCAGGAGTAGCGGCATTGAGTCCAACTTCATCACTCCATACAGCAACGTCAAGGCCTCCATGCATGCAAAACTGCGCGGTGGCAGTGGGAAACCTGGGTGCACCAAGTCCAGAGTTGGCGATGGGCTGTCCGACCGGGTGACGCCATAGGCCAAGGGAGGAGAATCTGTGCGGCAGTAGGCCTGTAGCGGTGCAGGGCTGCCCATGTGCACAAAGTCCAGCACCAACAGCAACGAGGCTAGACGGTGCATGCCATAGGCCAGCAACACCAATTCCGAGCGAACGCAAGCTTGCAGCAGCGGAGGAAGGCCTGCGTTGACAGAGTCAAGTACTGACAACGAGAAACCCAAAATCATCAGGCCATAGGCTGGCGTAGCAAAGCCCGAGCACGCGAAACCATGAAGAGAAGCCGAGCTCTCGAAGTGGCAAAGGTCTGGAACTAGCAGCAAGAGTCCTGATCTTGACAGACCATAGGTGGAAGACGCCGGGCCCGTGCAAGCAAAGCCACGTGACAGCAAAGGGAGATCAATCTGCACAAGGTCAAGAGTGGACGTGTTCAGTTCAAAACGACTGGTTCGCAAGAGTGGCAGAGAGGTCTCTGGGCAGGCAAGGCACCTCGAGGGTAATGCCAGGCCAAGACTTACGAGGTCAAGAGCTGAAAGAGACGAACCAAGCTTGGCAATTCCGTAGATGGGCATCGGCAACCCGGGGCACATGAAGCCATGCGGCAAAAGGCAGCTTCCTAGGTGCGCGGAGTCGAGCACTGGCATCAACAAGTCTGGGCAAGTGACCCCATAAACCAACAGTAGCGATCCAGGCTGGCAGAGACTTTGCACTGACAGGGCAGAACCCGTGATCGCATGGTCAAGCACTGTTAAGCTGGAGCCTGGTCTGGAGACACCAGAGATGGACAGCAGCGGTTCAGAGCGAAAGTGGCTTTGCAGTGACGACGAGCTGCCTGTGGAGACGGAGTCCGCAGCAGGTGGAGAGGAGCCCAAGCAAGCCACGCCGAAAGCCAACAAGCTTGAGCCCAAACAGATCATGCTTTGCAACAGCAGCAAACTTTCAGCCTTCATGGAATCAAGGGCTGGCAGAAACGCTCCAGGTCTTGCACAACCGAAGATTGACGTGGTGAAACCGATGCATGCGGGACCGTGGAGAAGCAGAGGTGGCCCCAGAGACGTAAAGTCCAAGACCAGCGAAAAACTTCCAAGGCAGTTCATGCCGTAGGCGGGCAGCAGCAATTCGAGATGTGCAGGTCCTCGTGATGGAGGTGCTAGTCCGGGCATGGCAGAGTCAAGAACCGGCAGCATGAACCCTGACCTTGCCGCACCGTAGACAAGCATGAAAGGCCCCAGACGCATATGGCTCCGCAGCAAGAAAGGTGAGCCCGAGCTCAAATGCTCTAGCACTGGCAAGAGCAGGTCCAGCACAGTGACGCCGTAAACCAGCGGCAATGAATCTGCACACATTGGGCTTTGCGATAGTAGCAGAGATCCTAGATGCAAAAGGTCAGGCACCAGCATCAAAAATCCAAGCCACGTCATGCCCCAGACAAGCAGCACCAAGCCAAGGTAGACAGGGCTGTGCGTAAAAAGCGTGAAGTCTGAGTGCACGAGGTCCAAGACAGGTGGTGGCAGGCCAAGGCGTGCCATGCCAAAGGCAGAAATCACGAGGTCTAGGCAAAGGAAGGATTGCAGAGACGGAGAGGGCCCCAGGTTGATGGGGTCAAGTGCTGGCACCAAAAACTCCATACGGTACATGCCATACGTAGCCAATAAGGAGTCAGCTCTGATGGGGCCTTGCAACAGAAGCGCTGACCCCATGTGGATGAAGTCTAGGATGGACGGAAGAACTCCAAGCCTTGTCATGCCAGAGGCGGACGTCATGGAGCCTACGCGCATCGTGCTGTGCAGGAGCGGCATCAGTCCTGGGCTTACGAAATCAAGGACTGATGAGCTAGCATCCATCTGGGATATTCCCCATGCTGAAGTTGGAAGGTCCAGGCAGGTGAAGCTTCGGAGCGACGGCGTGAAGTCTGAATGCAAGCGGTCCGGTATCAAAGGAAATGCTCCCAGACACGTCACCCCAGACACTGGCAGCAGCAGATCTGCCCACAGGAAGCTTTGCATGGACGGAGCCGGCTCTAGGCGAATGAGGTCTAGCACCGGCAACAAAAGCTCTAGCGTGCTGACACCATATGCCGAAGGTGGCAGGCCAAGCCAAATGGATGATTGCAACGGCAGGGAGCTACCTGTGTCAATCAAATCCGATACTAGCGACAAACTGCCAGTCTGCGTCATGCCATAGACTGGAAGCGATGTACCTAGGCAACTGGATCCTTGCGACGATAAAAGTGTATCCAAGTGGATTAGGTCTGGTAGGAACAGCAGGGAGCCGGGTCGGCACATTCCATACGAGGACGTCGAGGCTTCTGGCCGGGCATGAGCCTGCAACAAGGGCGATGACTCTAAGTGGATGAAGTCCAATGCCAGCGATGAGGAGCCCAGGCGAGTGCAGCCGTATGCTAGTGCTGAGCTTTCCAATCATGAAAAGCTTCTCGAAGGAAGCGCCGTGCCAGGCTGGATGAAGTCCAATGGCGGCACGAACGACTCGAGGCAGCTCAGTCCATAGGCAAAAATCATCGAGTCGATACAGCAATGGCTTTGAATGAGCAGAAGAGATCCCAGGTTTACGTGGTCTGGAGTTGGCAGAAAGGATTCCGAGCAGGAGAGTCCATACGCGAAGAGGCTCGGACCCAGCTGCAAGAGGTACCTCAGTAACATCACAAACCCTGGGTGCGCGAAATCAGGCACAAATGAGGTTGACCCCGAGCACGTCATGCCATAAACCAACAATACCGAGCCAGTTTGCATCCAGCCCTTCAGTGAAACCGCTGGTCCAAGCTGCACGAAGTCCAGGGCAAGCAGTGCGAGGCCAGGCCAAGCAATGCCATACGCCAAGGGTGCGCTGTCAGGTCATGCAAAGCCCCTCGCCAACAGCAACGAGCCGAAGTGGAAGAGGTCAAGCACCGGAGGAGGCAGGCCCGAGCGCATCATGCCAGAGGCAAACATCGGCAATTCTGGCCGGGCATGAGATCGCAAAGACAAGAAGCTTCCTACTAGGAGGAGGTCCGACATGAGCAGCAACAAGCCTGCTCGGGCAACGCCCCAAGCAAGCATGGCCAACCCAATGCAGCAAGGGCCATGCAAAGAAAGCAAGAAGCCCAAGCCAACGAAGTCCAAAGCCAGAAACGGCGAGTCAAGGCAGGTCAAGCCAAACACTAATGGCGCAAGTTCTGTTCGGGCATGATTTTGCAAAGGGGACGAAAACTCCATGCTTGCGTAATCGGGAGCTGGAGGAGAGGACCCAAGTCAACTCACACCGTACGCAGCCACAAACACCCCAAGGCAACCGAGGGTTCGCAATAGCAGTGGGAACTCCATGTGTACGAGATCAAGCGCAAGCAACAAAGGTCCAAGTCAAGTCATTCCATACACAAACATAGGAGATCCAAGCCTACCAAAGCCCCTCAACGCGAGGGAGCTTTGCATGCTGGCGTGGTCGGAAGCTGAGGGCGTCCTATCAGCTCACATAGGGCTGCTGACAGGCATCAAGGGTTCCAGGCAAACAGAATCCAAAATCAACAGCGAGACTCCTGACCGTGCAAGCCCAAAGACCAGAATCAAGGCTTCTGAACGGGAAAGTCCTCTCAGAGGCAACGCAGAGCCTGTTTGCACAAGATCCAGCACCAACAGAGAAGGCCCTGACCGAGACAGCCCATATACAGACGAAGGCAGGTCTAAGCGAGCAAAGCTTCGCACCGAGTACGAGCTGCAGAATTCGGCATAGCCTCTCGTGCGGAAGCCCTCGGTGACCACACACATTCCGTAAGTGAACATTGGCGACCCAAGGTGAGCAGAGCCCCGCAGAGAAGAGGCAGGGCCAGTGGTGACGGGATCAGGCACGGGCAGTGAAGATCCTGTACGAGCCATGCCATATGCGGACAGGGTGAAGCCAGGCCGCGACATTGTTCGCACCAGCAGCATGCTGCCCAAAGCAAAGTGGTCCGGCACCAACAGTGACACCTCCAAGCAAGCCATCCCATAGGCCAACATAGCACTCTCAAGGTATACAAGACTCCGGGGAGGAAGTGAAGCACCAAGGTGGATGTGATCCAGCACAAGTAGGGTGCTTCCCAAGCAAGACATGCCGTAGGCTGGCATTGCTGCGCCGGTCCTTTGAAAGCCTTGAGTGGGCAGTAGTAGCCCAGAATGCATAAGATCCAACACTAGGGCAGTCGGCCCCGTTCGGCCCAAGCCATAGATCAACACAAGGAGGCCAAAGCAAGCAGAGTTTCGGGGGGGCGTTGGAAGTTCAAAACTCACGTGGTCCAAGGCAAACGCCAAGGCTTCAAGCTTGGTCAATCCAGAGACTGGAAGTATCAGGCCCAGCCGACAATGCGACTGCAGTAGCAACGCCGGGCCCAAATGCAAAAAGTCAAGAGCAAGTAAGCTGAAGTCCGATCGGGTCATGCCATACACAAGCAATGTTGACCCGCACCAAAGCAGGCTTTGTAGAGAGAACGTTAGGCCCGTCGTGGCAGAGTCGGGCAAGGGCATCAAAGAGCCGGGTCTTGTCATCCCGGAGATCAGAGGCACAGAACCTAGGCAGCTGAAACCGTGCAAGAGTGGCGTTGAGTCCAAGTGTGCAAAGTCCACTGCGGGGGGCGAAAATCCAAGCCACACCATGCCATAAGCCAGCAGGCTTGGACCAGGGCAGGCAAGAGACCGCAAGGGCAGCGTAGAACCCATGTGCGCAAAGTCCAGCGCAAGCAGCGGAGGACCCAGTCTGGTCAAACCATAGGCTGGCAACGCGAGGCCAGGACAAATGAGACCACGCACAGATGGCACAAGGCCTGGGTGCACAAAGTCCAAGGCAAACAGAAAGCTCTCAAGGCACGACATACCATATGCTGACGTTACGAAACCAGTGTGCATAAGGCCACGTGTCAGCAAGGAAAAGCCAGTGTCAACAAAATCCAAGGTCAACATGAGCAGACCCAGGCGAGCAGCCCCATAGGCAGACATGGTCAGACCCATTCGGACGTAGCTTCGGAGCAATGGCAAAAGCCCAAGGTGAGCAAGGTCAGGAGCTGAAGGCATGAAGCCCAATCTGGCCATGCCATAGGCTGACAAGAAGCTTTCCAGTCGACCGTGGGCACGCAGCAGCAAAACAGGTCCGGAGGTTGAATGGTCCGACACAAAGGCGCTTGGGCCTAGCCATTCCATGCCGTACAGCAAAAGCACAAAGTCCAATCGAGAAAAGGCGCGTAGCAAAGCAGGAAGGCCAGTGTGAACAAAATCCAACACGAATGGTGGAGACCCTGATCTACTCATGCCATATGAGGACAAGACCAGACCAAGCTGAACGGGAGCCCTCGCAGGCAGAATGAATCCTGCGCACAGGTGGTCTGGCACAGACGGAGGAAGGTCGAGACGAGCCACACCGTAGATTGGCATTGCCAGTCCCGTACACAAGAAAGTGCGCAAAGGCGAAACGAATCCAACGCGGACGTAGTCCGGCACAGATGGGAAGAGTCCTGGCCAAGTAATGCCATAGATGGGAGCAGCAAAGTCAAACTGAGCTGGCCCATGCAGCGATGACACTGAGCCCATCGAAACAAAATCCATCACTGAAGGCAAGAGCCCGGGACAAGAGATCCCAGACACGAGCATCAACGAGCCTGACCGGCAAAGCGTGCGAGGTGACGTTAGGGAGCCTGTCTGGATGAGGTCAAGGACAAGTGTCGGAGGCCCCAACCGGCTCAACCCAAAGGCAGATGGGGTGGGCCCCAGGTGAACAAAACCTCGAGTCGACATGAAAGACTCCAGGTGAATCAGATCTGAGATTGGCACCGGAGGGCCGAGTCTGTTCATCCCATACACAGACAATATCAAGCCGAGGCACACGGGCCCATGCAAAGAAAGCGCTGGGCCAAGAATGGCAAGATCAAGCAAAGACGGCGAAGAACCCGTTCAACTCATGCCATAGGCTGACATGGTAGAGCCCATCCTTGCGAAACTCCTCAATGGCAGAGAACTTCCAAAGCTGACGAAATCAAGAACCAACATTAGGAATCCAGGCTTCGCAACGCCATAGGGCGACACAGTCAATTCAAGCTGAGAGGAACTTTGCAAGGGCGTGGACAAGCCCGGCGTGATGAGATCTGGAACCAACAAAGGAAAGTCTGAGCGTGACAGGCCATAGGCAGGCACCAGGGATCCACATCAGGCAAGCATGCGTGAAGGCGTGGCACTGCCCGCGAGGATGAAGTCCAGAACAGGCGGCGGAAGGCCCATGCAGGACAGTCCAGAGGCTAATGACATCGGCTCTGTCCGCATGGGACTGTGCAAAGGCGAAGTCGGGTCTGCATGAGCGTAGTCTGAGATAGATAAAAGCAACCCGAGTCTTGCCATGCCGTAGGCCAAAGGGGTGAAACCTGTGCGGCAGCATGCGCGGGAAGACACTGAACTACCAAGATGAGCAGGGTCTGGCGCTGGCAGTGAAGGCTCGATGCAGGTCATGCCGTACACCGGCATCAACGGGCCAGGGTGCAAGTAGCTACGCATCAAAGTCGGAAAGCCGAAGGTGGCAAGGTCCGGTAGAGGCGTGGTGAGTCCCAACCACGCTACACCGTACAGCGGAACCATCAGCCCAAGCCAAGCAAAGCTCCGCAGAAAGAATGGAAAGCCAGTATGTGCGAAGTCAAGCGAAGCCAAGGTAGATCCTGGGCGGATCATTCCATAGGGAGGCATCGCAAATCCCGGCCAGCTGAAGGTTCGTGAGAACAACAGGCTGCCGATGTGCACAAAATCTGCCGCCAAGAGCGGCAGCCCTGATCGAGTGATGCCGTAGGCCGGCAAGGCGAAGCCCGGGCAAACAAGACCTCGAACAAGCAAGGAGGAGGAGAAGGTGACAGAGTCCAGGATCAGCAGCAAAGCATCCAAGCGCGCCATTCCATACACAAGCAGCACAGACCCAATCCAGGCAGGGCCTTGCAGCAGTGAGGAGAGGTCAGGATGCACGAAGTCCAAAACCAACAAGGATGGGCCGAGATAGGCTGAGCCGCTCAGAAGCAGCAGAGATCCCAAGCAAACAAAACCTCGTGTCAACGGCAAGGAACCGAGGTTCACAGAGTCCAACGCAGCTGGAGAAGTCCCAAGGCGGGCAAGCCCAGAAGTGAACGCGGGCGCGTCCATCTGAGCGGAAGTTCGGAGAAACAGCAGCAAATCTGCTTGGACAGGATCCAGGACCAGCAGAAGTGGCCCAGTCCATGCCAGCCCATAAGGCGACGGGGTTGGCCCCAAGCAACAAGCATTTCTTAAAGGCGGAGAGAAGTCCAAGCTGGCAAGATCCGGGGCTGGCAACAAAGAGCCAAGGCAGGATGCGCCATAAGTCAGCAGAAACAAGTCCAAGCAAGCAAGGCTGCGAGGCGGCAACGAAACACCCAAGGCCATGAAGTCCGCGGCCAGAAGCAGCACCTCAAGACGTGAGACGCCATAGACAAACAAAGACAAACCAAGCCGGGCGAAGCTGGTCACCAAGAGGCCACTGCCCAGCTCCACGTAGTCATAGGCTAACATCACGAGGCCAAGGCGAGCCATTCCGAAGGTAGCCATCAAAAATCCCAAGCAGATGTACGTCCTTGGCAGAAGCGCAGAGCCAGCAGACACATGGTCCGGCACAGGTAGAGAGGCACCTGGCTGTGCCAAGCCGTACACGGATAAAAGCAAATCAAGCCTGGAGGAACCTTGAAGCGCAAGAGAAAGGCCAATCTGCAGCACATCTAGGATTGCCAGTGACTCTCCTGGCCAACTCATGCCATAGGCTGAAGTTGAGCTGCCCATCCAAACGAGGCTGCGTGCAGGTGGTAACGGCCCTAGCATGAACAAGTCCAAGATGGGAAGAAAGGCTCCCAGCCGGGTCATCCCGTAGGCCAACACCAGCAAGCCCACACAAACAAATCCACGTGGGAACAAGAGAAGCTCTGCATGCACAAAGTCCAAAACCAGTGGCGCAGGTTCCATGCACATAGCACCATAGGCGAACAGCAAAGCTCCCAAGCAGGTGAGCCCATGAAGTGACGTAGTGAAGCCAAGATGGACAAAGTCCAGAACCGGCGTGGACAATCCCGAACGAGACAGCCCGTAGGCGGACGTGGCAAATTCTAATCACCCATAAGTCCTGGGTAGCAGCAGGGCGCCCAAGTGGATAAAGTCCAATGTAGGAGATGCAGGGCCTGAACAAACACTGCCATAGACAAGCATAGTGAAGCCAAGACATGCAGAACTTTGCAATGGCGAGGCGCTTCCGAGGTGCGCATGGTCCAGCACAAACGGGAGGCTGCCAAGACAAGACATTCCATAGAGCAACGACGTTGAGTCAAAGCAAATGTGGCTATGCAGGAACATCGAGAAGCCGGGATGTACGAAGTCCAAGACGAGTGACGAGGCTCCAGGACACGCCATGCCGTAAGCCGGCGTCGCGCTCCCAAGCCGCACAAGGCTATGCAGCAAGACGGCTGACCCACAGTTCGCGGACTCTAGTGCTAACATTGCAGAGCCGAGGCAGCTCATGCCATAGGCAGACATCACAACACCTGAGCGGATAGGCGTCCGCAGCACCAACGATGATCCAAAGTCCACAGGGTCAGGTGCTGCCAGCAACACGCCTGATCAGGTAATGCCATAAGTTAGTGCGGCACTTCCCGCTCAAGAGAAACTTTGTGCCAGCGGCAGAAAGCCAGAGTGTGTGGAATCTAGAGCCGGCGGCATCAAACCAAGACCTTGGAATTGCAGATGTATCAAAGCTGCCACTATGTAACTACGTAATGCGTGAATCATCCCTGCACATCAAATTGAGCACCGAGCGAGCTTGCTCAAAGAGCAGAAGTGAACTCCCCAGGCGCGCGAAGCACGCCACTGAGGGGGAGCTGCCGAGCAATGTGAAGTCCTTCGAAGCAGCGTGCAAGATCGTGAGAGCAATGCGTTGTTCATATCTGCTCTCAACTAACGTGCTAGCCCTAAAGGTTGGCAGGTCGATTTGCAGCAAGACTGTTCTGCCATCTGTTCTGAAGGTCAGTCGCTGGCCACAGGCAAACAGGCAAAACAGTAAGCAGACACCCAGGATATCCCAGGATCCTTTGCAAACGTCGCGCTGCCAATACGAGCCACGCCGAAGACGGACATCGTGAAGCCTCGCACAGCATGGCGTCTCAGGCCACACGATACAGCTGGTAGTCAATGCAAGCCCTGCCTGGACGGGCAAAGGATGCAATGCTCATAGAACTGCCGAAGTTGGCGTGGTTTTGGACGGAGAATACGGCGCCTCAGCATTCTTTGCATGGGCCGTCTGAAGGAACATGCCCTGTGTGGGGAGAGACTTGCGGCGCCAGGAGTTCATTTGATGCAAACAATCCTCATCAGCGCCATTGCCTTGCTGCACAACTTAGTAGGTGGCCCAGGAAAATGGCGTCGCCCTGGACGTTGAACGAGCTACCAAGCTGCACCTGGCATGATTTTCATACCATCGTTCAAAAGGCTTTTGGGGATCCATTGGATCTACATGATGCTCCGGATGAGAATCACCCGCTGATACGAAGAGCACACACGCGGTCCGTCCATGATGCGATAGTTTCCAGAAATAGGAGGACCCTATAGAGACAATACGATTTTCCTTACTATGGGGACCCCCAGGAAGGCACCCTGAATTTTGAGAAACCCCTGTACTGCTTGGCCGCTGACATGGTCTCTGACGGAGGCCGTGGAGGCTAAGTTGGTGTGACCTCAGAAAGCAAGATGTATGAAATTCCAAATAGCTTCAAGAGCCCGCAGATTCTGCAAAATCTACCTGACCCCTTATGCCATCTGCAAGGCACATGGTTTGCAACTGCATCCAAACAAGTGTCAGAAAGGCTGCCCTGCAAGGAAAAAAATACTTTGCAAAAGAGCACCCTGGAAGGGTTAGCTGTAAAGCTCCCAACGGCACGATTTTTCTTTGAGAGACTGCCCAGACGCTTACTACGCTTACTGCTACTAGCCTCAAGTTGCTTGCGGTCAGCGAGGTTGTCTCATTGATCATTGCTGTCCAAGGACCAAAAACAGAGAGGACACTGCCGAAGTTGACTTGGTTGTACCTTGGATGCTGGCAGGCTGAACACTTGAAAGCACTACCATTCCCACATTCTGCGTTGCTTGCTTGCTGTCTTGCAAGTCTTTATGATAACGCCTGAGGCACTTGCACAGAGAGTGTACCACCCAGGGTGGTGGACGTGTAGATCGAGACCCTACCTCCCATATTGACCTGGGAAAGCACTGCGATGGTTGGGATCGTAGTCGTAGTGTGTAGCTTCACATGGAACTGGTGCAATGCGGCGCAATCTCTCTCACAGCAGAATTGCAGACGCACGTGCATACATGCACTTCACAGAAGCTCTGCTGCTGATAGCAGAACCGTGTACATGCATACATGCGCTTCACAGAAGCTCTGCTGCTGGGAGCAGAAACCGTGCACATGCATACATGCACTTCACAAAAGCTCTGCTGCTGGGAGCAGAACCGTGTCGAAAACTGCCAGTGAGCCTCCTAATTTGACCTGCACGAGGCAGCATTGGAGGTCACCATAATTTTTCTCGAGAAGGGTTGGTCCCATCTGACCTAAACAGAATCATCAAGCCATGCAAAGCTTTTCCAGCACGCGCTCTAAGGGGGCCCCGGAGCCTCTCTCAGCACTGAGAGGGTCGTGTTGAAGAAGGTCTCGTCATCTGGTGTGAACCTTGGCTGTACATTTCCTCCGTGGTCTTAGTGCACGTTGCCTTTGTAGGGGGGAAGTTTGCAACTGAAAGGCTTGCACAGACCAATTCTCTGAAGCTTGTCCGAGCCTCTGGCGCCACCTTCCCCCCTGAGGGCGTCTGTAGGACGAGGGCATTCCCTCCGTACAAGTCCTGCTTCAGCTCAGAAGATATCCCTGGAGTTGTGAGCGGTTCCTTGCTTCACTGTTCACCTCTAACTGTGCAGATGAACGGGACAATTTTTTTACGGTCCCTCACGATGATGTCCCAAAGCCTCACACCGGACCTCGGCCCAAAAGCAAGAGCATGGCAGGTACTACAGGTGCAAGCTGACCCGAACCCTTATCAACTGCCACCTTGCACTGTTAGGAATGCGTGCCAGGACTTGGATATCTGCAAACTCAGCAACAGCTGACGACACAACATGCTTTGGCGCCGGCGATCGCAGCGTTATTCTTGGGGCCTTACATCCAAATCCAGGGGATACAAGCAGGAATGGCTGCTGCAGTGACAGGGGTGCTTGCCGGACCCCCTCCCTGCCGTCCTTCACCACTTCTTCACCCCTCCACTACAGCTATGATGCTGTGGCAAAGACAGACATCTGGCAAAGCTGGTTTGAGCCAGGCCACTTGATTATAGGACGGGTCCAAGTCCAATGGACCCAGGAGAGTTATGTCTCCTGCGTGCGACGTCTTCCGGCACCACAAGCTTGAGCAGCACAAGCACCAGAATTAAGCATGTGTCACAGATTGGAGCTGCAATTCCATGAAATTTGCTAGGGATGAAACTCTGATAGGCTCAAAGGTACGACGCTAATTTGGCACTACACCCGGCAAGGCTGACAACCTGTGTAGCAGCTTTGCAGTCCTTCTTTGGATACGAGCACCCATGGGGCCACAGGCGGCACAAGGGTGCTGATTGCAGCCTGAGCATGCGCAAGCGCAACTGGAACCCGTTGCTCAACGCGATCTGCTCTTCACACGGACTGCTCTGTGGCGCTGCTCCATCTCCGAGGCCCTAACGAGGAGCCATGACCACCGGCGCATCTATCATCTGCCTGGCCATCGGGCATACGTGTTGTGAAGCACACAGCTAGAAACAAGGAATTGTAGCATGGCATGTGTTCCAAAATAATGTTGTAAGAGCTGCTGGGCGCATACATGCGCATGCTCAAAGCCTTCCACCTTCTTTGCCGTCTGCGTAGCGTTGCATACAGCAATTTGATGTGTCTTCAACCCAACACATGCCAGGCACTGCCCGTGGCGGCTTCCTCTCAGCACGCCCTGACCCCTGACCCCTGGGGCTCTGGTACCCCGGACTGCGAGCCGAAAAAACAAACAGACTTTTGTGCCAGACTTCAAGTTGTTCGAACTTTTGGCCAGTCATTATGCTACCAACCAACAAACTCCAGAGCTAGGGCAATGCGAGGAAAAATCTTCAGACATCAACCGCAGGGCAGACACAGAATCAGATTGCGCAATCAACGTCAGGAACATGGCAGACATCATGAGCTGTCCAGCGAGGACCATGTCGGAACAATAATTGCAAGCTTGAATGTCTACGCGTTTTTCCCAGGGGGGAGGCCAGTGATCCTTGCATGGCATCTGGCGACCCTGTTGAGGCATGTCCAGGCTATCAGGTGGCTGATCTTCACATATCTCGTTGCTGAGCCCGCCGTCATCAGGAGTCCACGCTTCAGATGCTGTCCAAGGCTTCACCCAACGATGATCGGCTTCAGCTCGTTGGCTGCCTGATGCCGGGATGCCCCGTTCGCTTGTGGCGCTTGCGTCTGCTTGCAAGCGCGTGAATTCAGATCGTGGGTCACAGTCGTAGTACTACGCATGTTGCGCTTGCAGCCATTCAAGGTGGGTACAAAACAATCAACAACGTCTGTCGGTGCCGACTGGGGCTGACACGTCCTGCTCTTTCTCCATTTCTTCCGTGTGCTGCCTTTGCTTCCTTCAAAACAGAACAGCAGAGCGGACTCACATGCAGCACAGCCTCCCCAGCACTGTCCTGTGAAACTCCAGCTGTCCCTGGCTCTGGCAAATGTAGCCACAGACCTGCAGAGGTCGGTGACACGGGCCAGTATATATTGCCCGTATAGAATTATGCGGGAGCTGCCTTGCAAGTGAAGGGCGACTTCATCCTGTCTCTGCTCAACAAGGGCGGCTGTGCTCTTGAAAAAACAGAAGTAAGGCTTAAACAAACAACGACAAAGAGACCGTCCTGTGCCATGGTACGGAAACTGCCGTGTCAGAGAGGTACACCAACTCCAGGTTGGCCTGCACTTGCAAGTTACAATTGGGTATGCCATACTGGCTCGAAGATTTGGCGCCTCGTGAGGCTTGGATGTGTAACCAACGTCTTGGTCACAGGACGGACAAGCCTCAAAACGCAAGTCGGCAGCGTGGGCTTGGTATGCAAGTGGATCAGATGATGATCATAATGATGACGAGGATAGTGATTCCCAGTACGGACAGCTGAGGACAGCGCATGCACGTACCTTACGATGCTGCAAAAGGCGGTTTTTCGGATCAAAATGTCTGGCAACAAAACCAGCAGTCGGGGTGCTGTCGCTCTGCACCTTTCTCACGGCGAATGAGCTGGCTGCCCTGGGCTGCAACAGGCACGTTGCAGCACTGTAGCTTGCACTCTTGGTTCCCTGCATCACGCTTGACGGTGTACAAGCTGATGACCTGCACATCTGCGAATGCCATGCCTGCGGAAGCACTTCATGCCGATTGAGGCCTGCAGTCGGGCATCCAGAACCAGGGCGCCATCAGTCCTGGCTTGCTGCATGGCAGAATGCACTCTCATTTCCAATGTGCTCTTAACCTCTCAGGGCACGACTTTCTTCTTGGGATCTTCGCTAGATCGGCATCCGTCGTCAGGAGGTGAGTCTGACACCTGCGCTGCACTATCGGAAACTGCTTCACTGCAACAAACTCCTGAAAGGTAGAGTTGTTCTGCTTGGTCGGGTGGTGGCTTAACGGCAGGGCCTCTTGCAGTGGAAGGCATTGAAGCGGTCGTCCTCCTTTTGGCCCTTGTTGGTGTACACGGGCAGCCGTCTGGAGGTCACCACCTCAAAACATCTGACGCTCACAGCAGCCAACCTAGTAATACTGATAACATTGAATAAGAAGAGTAATACGAATAGTCATACTAATAGTCAAACTAATCGTAAGAATAATAGAAATACTAATAGTAAAGCTAATAATCTTAAGTATGCATCCACTGCCACCCCCCCTCCCGGCCTTTGGCATGTCACGGGCTCCTTAGTCAGCAACTCATCACGACCTTTGAAAATGCGCCCGGCATAAGCAGCACAAGCACATGGTGCGGGAAATGAGCAGCCGCTATCAGCAGCCTCCAGCGCTTGCAGAGTGGCTCGCGTCAATGCTCGCTTCGTCGACACCATCAAGCTTAACGCTGCTGGCTAGGAATGTAGATAAAGCCTTGTGCCGGCCTGCGATGAGACTAGTACTATGTCACCTCACCTCTAACCCTTTGTCATCTGCCATACTTCCCCGTCTACACGTTCTCATGTGCCTCTTGCATGTTGCTTCCTGCATTTCCCTCTTCATGTCCTTGGTTGCAAGCACTTCGTACTGGAATCGTGGAAGTGACATTCCTTTTCACACAGTTTGAGTAGAGCGCTGTGGGCAGAGCGGAAGCTGCAAAGCAGCAAGCGACCAGTGCTGAGCCCTTTGCAAGAGATATATGGCTGTATCCAAAAAGCAGGGGGTGCTTGCAAGAACGATTGTGGTGTATTAGAATTGGGGCCCCCCGTTTACAAAAAGAAAACATGCAAGATTACGCAGAAGGCTTGGCAAAATGGTGGAATGACACCTGTTTGTGACTACCAGCGCTTCAGAGTCTGTGCACAGCCCTCCATTGAGAGGGCTTGGAATAAGCTCTGAAGGTCCAGGAAAATAGTAAACACGGCTGTTGCCGACAGTGCAGCCGAGCCTACAGCCAAGCTTGAAGCCTGGAACTTCCGACTACTTCCAACGCGAACACACAATGAGGGACCTCATTATCTAGTATTGCAGTTATTACTAGCATTACTGTTACTGCTATTATTACTATTCTTAATACCATTATTTTTGTTACGGTGTTGGTTCCAAAGCACGTAGAGATAGGAGTGCGTCCCAGCAGGAAGTTGTCAAGCCGACAAACACTCACTTTCAATGTACCCATGTGAGACAATCCTCTCTGTGGACCGCAACACTTTTAAATCGGTCCATGTGGATGAAAGTCGAACCCCAATCTCTACAGAGGCTCTGGCAGCCAGTGAGGATGTTTCATGGAAGTGCTTTGCAGTCTGTTAGATGCTGTTCTGCCAGAGCTTGGGAGCTAAAATGACCTACACGCACCTGCAACTGAATCAGAACTGGGCGCTTGGATTAGCAATGAATCTGCGCACCCGAGCACGTGCATACCAAGACATAAGGAAACTCGAGTGACACTTGTCTCAGCCAATGGCTTGAAGCCACCTGCCAGTTGTGTAAAAAGCATAACTTTGACAGCGGGCTGCGTGTTCTGAGATCTGCGCCTGGCTATGACAACGACCAATCTCCGGTCACCTGCAGAATTCTTAGTCGTAGGATCGACTGTTGGGTCTGTGGTCAAAAATTATGAAGCTTCACCGTTTGCATCGAACTTTGCATCGAAGTTTGAAGAGTTTGGGCACTGCCTGCTGCCCGCAAGGGTTTACGTTGGACCATGCAAAAGTCAGCATTGCCCAGACGCCTTTTGGCGGGGGCTTCTGCGGGGCTCGAAGTCTAAGTTTGTTTGAAATTCTGCTTGTGTGCTGCATAAACCAAGCAGAGGATCATGCCGTTTCTGGATGGTCTTCTGTTTCAGGCCAATCCGAACAACAAAGCTTGCCCCGAACATCTACTCCCGCACCGCAACTTTTCCCCCCGACTTTGCATGGAGGACACAATGTGCCGGAGTCTTCAACCTGTGACGAACAAAAAAGCGGAGCAAACTTGGACCGACCGTCATAAAAATAGTAACCCCACTAGTAATAGAAGCAATGATGGCAGTAGCAGCAGTGAAAAAGTATACTGGGTCACATAATAGTAGTTGCTGGACTGCAGAAGAGTCATAAGAACCAGTGATAGTGCAAGCACCCTTTTCTCACCCATAGCAGCGACGCGGCTAAACAGCAGAACTCGTTTTAACACAACGAAAGTCTGAAGTCTTGTTAACAACTTACAAAAAACATGGCAGACAAGACTACGAAGCATGACCATCAGACACAACAATATTTCAAAGACATGCTCCAGGCTACCCTAGAAACTTCTAAAAGCCCCTACAACCCTCAACAGCCTCAAACCCTCAGAAAACCAAACAGCGAAAAGCTAGCCCTAAGAATCCACATAACCTTAGACCTTAAGAACACTCAAAGCCCCAAACCCTTCAAACCTTGAAACTGAAGTAAAAGCGTAAAATATCCTCAAAACCCTGAAAGCTCTCAAAACCCTGATGCCCTAAACGCGCCAGAAGCCTAAACCCTGCTAAGCCCTACAATCCCGAAACCCTCTCAAACCCCAACCCTTCACCCTACCAAATGCTGAAAACCCTAAAACCTACAGAACCTAAGCCTTCAAACCCTGAACCCTAAAAACCATCAAAGCCCTTCAGGGGCCAAGAAACCTAAAGCCCCTACCTAAAGCCTCATACACCCTTTAGAACAAAACTGAAAAACCCCTAAGTACACAAGATCTTCCAGTCTTCCAATTCGCAAACCCCTAGGCGCCAAAAACCCTATAGGCCCGCAAAAAGAAATCAACCGACGAAACCCAAAAGAACGAAACCCCAACAAACTGAAAGTCTGAACCCTAAACTTTTAAACACCAAACCCCAAAACACCTTCAAACCCTAAAAGAAAGGTAGACTCAACCTTAAACATGCCAAACACTTTTTCAAGAAAGTAAGCTCTGAAGACCCAGAAAACCTTAGAACTCAAAAAAACCCTTAAAACACCAAATCCCTTAAAAGCCCTTCACCCCCAAACACCCCCAAAAACAATAATCTGTATACACCAAAACCCCTGAAACAATGAGAAATCTAAAGCCCTACTCCCTACCAAATCTTGAAAAACCATAACCCCTCAAAGCCCCAACTCGTAAAGATCCTAATCCAAAGCCGCTAAACAACCCTGAACCAAAATGCCCTAAGGCCATGAACCCTAAACCCCTTGAAACCCTGAAAACTTAAGACAAAAAACAAATGCACCGAGCATTAGATACCCTGAGCACAAAAATGGAAAACAAAAAACATCTTAAAGGCCTAGTCTAACAGCACTCAACCATAACAGCTCTGAAGCCCAAAAAACACTGAAGTGAAAGCCCTAAACCTTGAAAAACAAACCCTACAGGACCTCGACTGTAAAATTCGAAGCATGGCAGACTCCAAAAAACCAAACCCCTAAAACCTTAAAGCTCCAAAAACTCCGAACCATAAAAACCCTCAAAACCTTATAATACATCTTAAAACCTAAACCCTTTGTGCCTAAACCGTATGCGGGCCCTACAGTGATAGCCTTGAACCCTAAAAATCCTGAAGCCCACTAAACCGTACAAGCCATAACCCTCCACCCTAAACCCTAACAACCGTGCATCCAAAACGCTCTGAAAACTCAAAAACCTGTTTCGAACCCGAAAAACGTTCAACCAAAAAATGAAATCGCACTAGAAACCGAAAACCCTAAACTGAGGGGCTTTGAGGTTTTCAAGGTTGTCAGGATTTACGGATTTTGGGCCTTTTGAAGGTTTCTCGATGTTTAGTTTAGGGTTTAGGGTCGTTAGGGTTCGGGATTTTTGGGGTGCAGGGCTTTCGAAGGTCTAGGATTTTACATTTGTGGGGTTTAGGGTTTTAGTGCTTAGGGCTTTTAAGCGCTCTTAGGGCTTACAGTTTTCTGACTTGTTAAGGTTTGTTCTTTTCACGTTTTATGGCTTTTAAGGTAGTATGGGGTGTCTAGAGTCTCGCAGTTTGGGTTTTATCTGGATACAATGGGCTTCATAAGGTTTAGCATTCCTCCCATACGGATGCTAAGCCCGAACAACACGCTCAAGCGGCAAAAAACCTTCATCCAAAGAAACCTACACCCTACTTACCTGTAAAAGCTGTAAATCATAAAGCCTTAAACTGAACATATTACCCCTAATCCCAAAGAAAAGCGTCAACCCAAAAACCTGAGACCCTAAAAGACCTGAAAGCCTTACATTCTAAGACTTAAACCTGCAAAACACATCTCTCTCAAAACTCTAAATCTTAAAAACAACGCCCCAGGGACCTGTTCACGCGCGCGCAAACATGCACGCGCGCAGGATTCACTGGCCCTGCCAGTGAATTCAAGCTTCGGAAGGTGAGGAAAGCAGTGCAAAAAATGTCATATTTTTTGTCAAGCAAAAAGCCAGTGGCTGTCCTGGAGCACATCTGCTCTGGTTATCGTATGCTCT